TATCATTTTAAAGTCGTCTACTTTAAAATGCATAATGTATGTTTGAATTGCCAATATAAATGAGTCAGATAAAATTAAATTATTAGAAGAATTTTTCACTATGTAACAAAAAACAAAATTTGTTTAATTTACTGTTTGTATTTTGAGAACGATTTCCGAAGTGGAAATTGAAACGTCAATAAATGTATTTTTATCTTTAATTGTGGCCTTATTCCCAGTTAAATAATAAAATTAAATTATTGTAGGTATGATAAAGTAAGTCAATAGTTTTTTTAAGTTTGATTTATATAGTAAATCGGCCATGGATAAATTAGGAATAAAAATAAAATTATCGAATAGTATCTTGGATAATAGTTTTCGTTTTTGGCCGTCTACTCTAATTGCTATATAAAAATGGTAATTTTGGTATTTATTCTTTATTAAAAAATCTTAATAATTTAGCGCAAACTTTGCTAGACGTAAGAAAATGGAGAATATCGGCGCGGGTCCAGTAAGGTTGGAGGCATAGTTTGGAGGTGGCAAGGCTCCGGCTATAGCGCCGTTGTAGAGAGAGAATGAATCTTAAATATTTTCACAAAATACTGTCAACGTCAAAATTAAGGATCATACAATATGATGTTTATGACCTGATTCTTTATATTAAAGGGAAGAACATTAATCGTATGACGTGAATATTTCTAGAACACTTAAATAAAGTAGCAAATTGGTCCTTAATTACCGGTTTTAGGTTGTGTTTAATAAAACAAAATGCATAATATTTTCAAGAAAACATTCGAGGATAAACCAAACCTAACGCTTGAGAACCAAAGTCTTTCCAAAAAAGTCATATGCAGCAGATAGTTCTTTCATGTCGAAATGGCCTTAACTTGTTTAAGTACCTAGCTCACAAAACTTGGGGTGCCGATAGTTAAACATTCATGATCATCATCAGTATCTCGACAACCCTTTCTGGGTCCTGGATTGTTCTAGATTTTCCGGCATTCTGTTCTGTTCCTTGCTTTGTTTTTCCAGTTGGTAATCTTAAGTGTTTTCAGATCTTGCTCCACTTGTTCCATGTATCTAAGTTTGGGTCTTCCCTTTGACCTTCTCCCTACTGATGTTTGCTTTATTATATGTTGGATAGTTAAACATTACTTTTGTTATATTACGGATGTGTCGCATATGCAGCTGCCAGCACAATAGTGTTAAAACTTTTGGATACGTTACATAATATCTTCTTAAGGATTATACTTGGAGCCTGCAGAACAACTCCGATTAATAGCATACAAGCTGAAATATGTGAATTCACGCTAAAGCTTCGTAGGAAGTTATTAACCCTTAATAACACTTCTAGCATAAGTGGAAATAAAATAATTTCAATAAATAACATTTGACATATCCATCACTAATGACTCTTTAAAGTTCAATCTGCCATTTTCCCATAGAATCCCTAATACAATCAAACTACTTAACTGGAAGCAATGTCCACACTTATATCAATACAAAAATATATCTTCAGCTTGAATTGTAAAAATTCCAACAGTCAATTTCAGTCTATTAGAATTCCAAAAAAATACCACCAACCCTAATTTTATCATGCAACACTTCAGAGAGCTAATTAACTCTCACTTCGATTAAAAAGTATAGTATACATCATCACCATCATCAATTAGCCTATATTTCTCCACTGCTGAACGAAGGCCTCCCGTAAAATTTTCCACCTATTTCTATTTCGAGCTTCTTGCATACAGTTTGTGATGATGCGCTTAATATCATTCGTCCATCTAGTCGGTGGCCGTCCTCTGCTTTGGTCGCCATTCCAGAATCTTTTTGGTTCATCTATCATCCGTTAATCTGGCAACATGTCTGGCCCAAGCCCATTTAGCCATGGCTATTTTTTCTACTGTATCTGTGACTCCTGTTCGTCTTCTTATTTCTAGGATTGGTACTTTATCTCTGATGGTAATATCTAATATTGATCTTTCCATAGCTCGTTGTGTAACTCTTATTTTATCTATTCTTTTCTGTTCTTTCTGTCAGGGTCAGTGTTTCTGCACCATATGTAAGAACCGGTAAAACGCACTGGTTAAAGACCTTTATTTTTAAACAAACTGGGATACTAGACTTGAAAATGTTATTCAATCTAGCAAAGGCAGCGCATGTGAGACCTATCCTTCTTTGTATTTCAGTTGTCTGATTATCTCGGCCTAAGTGAATCTCATGGCCTAGATATTTGTAAGCTATTACTTTATCGATGCTATGGCTCTCAATCAGAATTTTACCGCTGACTACAAGGTTGGTCATAAATTTTGTCTTTGAGGTGTTAATTTTAAGACCAATTGTTTTTGACACTTTATAGAGCGTGTGCAGCATTTTTGTAGCTTTATCAACTCTATCAGATATTAAAAGATGTCATCGGCAAATCTTAGGTGGTTCAGATCTTCCCCATTTATATTAATTTCCATATTATGCTCTCGTTCCATTTGCTTGAACATATATTCAAGAACAGCTGTAAACAATTTAGGGGAGATAGTATCACCCTGTCTAATTCCACGTTCTATTCGAAACTTGGTATCTTCATGAAGGCGGACAGAAGCCGTACCAGTTTCGTAAATACTTTTAATTAAGCCGATTTATCGGTAGTCAATGCGACAGTCAGTCAATGCTCAAAGCATTTTATGATAATCTATAGTATCGAACGCCTTTTTATAATCTACGAATATAAGAAAGATAGACTTGTTATACTCTACACTTTTCTATTAGGGTTTTTATGACTTGTAGATGATCGTTTGTTCCGTATCTGGAGCGGAACCCAGCCTGTTCACAAGGTTGGTAACTATCCAGTTTGTTCACAAGCCGTTTTTTTTATTAGTTTTGTTTTGTTATTTGTTTTTGTTATTATCTTCATGATAATAACATAATAACATAGTATACAGACGTGTCTAAAACTGGAAATGGAGTCAGAGTGGCAATAATTAACAATACAGAGATTCTCAAACATAGAATTCCAGATACTGCAACAATATTAACAGGAGAACTCTGTGAAAATCTATGTCATCACTATCACATAATCAGGAAAATATACACGCAGCGTTCATTAGCTTTACTAATAAAGAAAGAACTAAATACATTCATACTGAAGATACAAGCATCAAGTTTCTCTGGATTTCATTATATGTTAAAAGAGTAGGTAATAAATCAGCAGATAGAAATGCCAAAGAAACCATAAACGATAACAGTTTCCTAATGTCACCCCAATCTGAACGTATTGATCTAAAAAGCTACTTTATAAAGCACCTGTTCGAGAACTGGAAAACTACATGGAAATCTACACCATTAAATCTTCAGGAGATAAAAGATAAGATTGGATTTTCTGTTTAAAAAAGAAGAATGCCCAATTTGTGATGAGCCTGGTTCACCCCTTACAGTAAAACATGTGCTAGTGGAAAAATGTGAAAAGTTCAATCGTCTTAGAAATAAATACCATTTACCAAACAATCTTAAAGACAACTTAACTTAAAAAAAAATGATCGAGAACCTACTTTTGTATTTAAAAGACTTTAATTTATTAGTGAAAGTGTAAGTAACTGTTATAATTCCGCTAATAATCTTATTAGGTTAAAGCGGTTTTTTTTTGTAAAAAAACGAATTATACAAACGTCCACATATTATTTGCCACATTTTTCGATAATTGTCTGGATATAACAGAGTAATGCTCTTATCTTCTCCCTTGGAAATCATTAAAGAAGTTCAGAAGTGTATCAGATTTTTGCTAGGTGGCTACAACTTCACGATCTTGCCTTTCTCGTGGTCTTCTTTTTAGTCATTTGCGCCGAGTGTGGGAAAAAGGACAGTGTCAGGATTGAAGAGTTTAAGGGAGTTTAAATGCAGTTTAATAGAACCCTATAGACCAGCGGTAGATTGAATAAAAATAGTAATAATGATATCCAACCTCAGATTAGAAAACGGCACTTAAAGAATAAGAAGAAACGTATAAATAATAATGAAGTATATACCTCCTGTACAGCAATCGGAATTCAAAATTTTGTAATATATATATATATATATATATATATATATATATATTACAAAATTTTGAATTCCGATTGCTGTACAGGAGGTATATACTTCATTATTATTTATATGTTTCTTCTTATTCTTTAAGGGCCGTTTTATATATATATATATATATATATATATATATATATATATATATATATATATATATATATATATATATATATATATATATATATATCCGGTTTTTTAGGCGTTACGCCCGTCCGGTAGGAATCTATGGAGGAGTATCACCGAGCCGCAAGCCCTTATCTCTTGCCGTACTGCTCTAAGCCGCAGATTCATCTAGAATTTTAAACTGCTGCGTTAGACTTTTTGTTTTCTGTACACAGAGCTGGGGCTCGAACCCACATCCACTGAACCATTCGACAGTGAAGCGAATGAGAGGCAGCCGAATTTGTAATAAATTTGTAATAAATTTGTAATAAATTTGTAATAAAAACTCCAAAATTAATGATAATTCACGATCAAATCAATTTAATAACTATACTATTAGTAAGTTTAACCTTATTGACAAATAAATTTGTTTATTAAAAATCTCAAATTAGTAAATTAATCCTAAAGTCGAGTATATTACTTGAAATAATGGCTATTATTCCCTCAGACTAATAAATCCCTCGCCGCTGGCGCGGCTCGGTTTGTAAATATTCTTCAGGAATAATAGCTATCATTATTGACTAGTTTATACTTTTATTAGAATAAAAGAATATTCTTAAAATATTTGACAAGCAAACAAAAGGCAACTGTCAAATGGATTTGTTCTCCAATATTGGTATCCAATATATCGATAATCCAGCTCATTGACCTGGATATTGGTAAGAATCAGGATCAATCACACAAAGATTAATTCACTGCAGTAGTTTGTCGACAAAAGATTTTTCTATCAGTTTTCTATCCAAAATATGTGTTGTTATTTGTTCTAAATTTTCCTTTTTTAATTTCAGTTTTTGTTAGCTACTCTTGGAGTAGTAGCGACCTTCGCCGCTCCCCAAGTTGTTTCCTCTACAGCTGCTCCCAACGATTATTACAGGAACAACTACTTCAGAAATAACTACGATCCCTACTACAGAAACGGCAACTACAGAAACAACTACTACAAAAACCAATACGACCCCTACCGCAGAAACAATTACTACGGTAACGATTACTACAGGAATAATAACTACTTTGGTAATGATTATTACAAGAACAACAACTATTATAACAATGATTACTACAAAAACAACCAATATAATAAAAATGTTTACAATCCCGAGTACAGAAAGAACTACGTTCCTGGAGCTGAAGCAAACGCAAGAATTTTAAGGTTCGAAAGCAATTACAACCCTGAAGGAGGTTATGAATATGCGTAAGTTTAAAAAACATTTAACTAGTCTTTAATCATTTTTTACGCCTTTTGAATGTTTTATTTTAGTTTATTGATATAAACTATATTTTATCTCATTTCGTCTGATAATATTCTTTTATATTATATTGCCTAATCTTCTTCTTCGCGTGCCATATCAGAACTATCCGACGTTGGCGATCACCATTGCGAAGGCTTCTCGATCTTCTGCAATATGGAATAATTGTCCTGCATTTGTTATCTGAGTCCATTCACGAATGTTTTTTAACCAAGAAACTTGTTTTCTTCCTACACCTCTACGGCCCTCTATTTTGCCTTTAAGGATCAGTTGTAAAATTTTATATCGACTCCCCCTTACTATATGTCCCAGATAAAACATTGACAGAGCAGTTCTCTGTCTTTGTTGACGCTCCTTAGTACTTCTTTATTAGTTTTTCTTGCTGTCCAAGGTATCTTCAGCATTCGTCTATGAACGCACATTTATAATGCTTCAATTTTGTTCATAATCGATACTTTTCGCGTCCACACTTCTGCACTATACAAAAGTACAGACCAAACATAACACTTAACCATTCTCTGCCTTAGTTCTAAACTGAGATGGTTATTGCAAAGAAATGACTTTAATTTCATAAAAGTAGTTTTAGTCATTGCTATTCTACGTTTTATTTCTATGTCTGGATTTAGTTGGTCCGTTATCACAGTTCCCAAATATGTCATTTTGTGAACTTTCTCAACTTGGACTCCGTTCAATTAAAGCTTTGCATCGGGATGTGGGTCACGACTAAACACCAAAAATTTGGTTTTGTTTGAGTTTATTTTAATGCCCATTTCCTCTCCTACCTCGTGAATACGATCAAGCAGAATTTGAAGACCTTCAATATTATCTGATAGAATTACTGTATCGTCTGCAGATCTAATCACATTAAGTAGTTCCCCGTTGATTTTTATTCCATATGGTTGTCTCTCAAGTGCCTTTTTAAATAGCTGGTCCAAGTAAACATTGAACAATGTTGGCGACAAAATGCAACCTTGTCTGACTCCTCTTGTATAAGGAAATCATCGGTGTAGTTATCTCCAATTTTTACGATAGCAGTTTGATTCCAGTACAAATTTTTAATGACACGAATATCCTTGTAATCTATTCCGATATTTTTCAGTATTTGCATTAATTTTACATGCTGTACTTTATCGAATGCCTTTTCGAAGTCCACGAAACATGCAAATACATCTTTTCTTTGGTCACGGCATTTTTGTAATAGGATGTTAAGCGCAAAAAGTGTCTCCCTGGTTCCCATAGCATTTCTAAAAAAAATTGGGTATCTTCAAGATCTTCTTCGCATTTGCGTCTAATTCTGTTGTGAAGTATTTTGAGGAAAATTTTAAGAGTGTGGCTCATTAGGCTAATTAATCGATATTCTGAGCAATTTCTCGCATTGTGTTTTTTAGGTATTGCGATAAAGATGGATTTGAGCCAATCTGCGGGAATCACTCCGGTGTTATATATTGAATTAAAAAGTCTTACTACTCCTTTTATCATTCTCTATTAGTTTCAGCAACTCAGTTGGTGTATCATCTGGACCACAAGCTTTTCTAACTTTAACATTATTTATAGCATGTTCTACTTCGCATTTCATAATTTCTTGGCCATCAGTACAGTTTTGGTAGAATTCGACAATATTATTCCTGTCATCTTCAAACAACTTTAATATATACAGCTGCCATTCTTTTCTTATTTCTTGTTCATTTACAATAATTTGGTTATTAGTGTCAACAAGTACAGAGGGAACTCGTTTTTTAAATATATTAATCATTTCTTTCAGTTTCTTGTGCACATTAAATAAGTCGTGTTTAGATATTACATCCTCCATTTCGTCGCACCTTCCTCTCATCCATTTTTCTTTGGCTAATTTGATCTCCCTTTTTATTCTTCTCTGCAGGTGTCTGTATTCTGTTACATTAGATTTTATCAGTCGACGTTGTTCCATTAATTTTAAGATGTCGTCTGTCATCCAGATATTTTTCTTGATTAAGCTTTTTCTATAATCATTGTTAGTGGAGATTTCGTTAACTTGGTTTTTAAATTCACTCCATAGTTCTTCTGGATCTTCTAGTTGTTCCTCGATGTTTTTTATTCTATTGTTAAATTCTTTTTTAATGTTATGTTTTGTGTTTATATCGTCAAAGTTAAGTACATTGGTTTTTGGTTTTTGTCGCTGAATTCGTTTTAACCTTAGTTTAATATCTACTACGAGTGGTTGATGATCAGATCCAATATATGCCCCAGGATATGTAGTGACTTTTTTAACGGCATAGTATAGTATTAACGGATACAAGTATATAGTCTATTTGATTTCTTGAAGACTCAAGGTTTTTGCCATCATCAAATGGGGCTTTCCAAGTGTATAGTCGTCGCTTGGGTAGTTTATACCAGGTGTTTGCAATGATCATATCGTTTTCTTTACAGAATTCATACAATCTCTGTCCTCGATCGTTAGGTTGTCCTAAACCATAAGGACCTACAGTCTGACCTTGTCGACCTTCCCCAATTTTTGTATTGAAGTCGCCTGTAATATATTAAATTTCGTGTTTATTAAGTTTCTGTAAGATGTCTTGGATCTGATCATACAACTTCTCGACTTCATCGTCATATTTTCTATCTGCAGTCGGGGCATAGATTTGAAGTATGTTAGTTTTAAATGGTTGAGTATTTATTTGGAGTAATATTATTCTATGTTCAGGTAATATTCTATTGCCTAATATTATCTGTAAATACCTGTCTCGTTCTTATTAAAAGTCATCCCTCTGCCACTTTCAGCGGTCGCACACGTTTTTATGTCCTACTCATAATTATTTTGGGTGATTCTTATTTCTTTTACTTTTTCCATTCTGTTAATGTCTCCATTCCACTTTATTTAATACCTACACTGATTTTTCTTTTATTTTGATAGAATTGATTGATTGAAGCAACTTTGAGATTTAATTTCAATGCAAGGCTCCTTCAATGCAGGGCTCCTGCCATCCACCTATACGTATTTCGATCTTATTATCTCATGCAGAAGCTCTGCATTGAAATTAAATATAAAAAAGTCTTTCTGCTTTATTTATTTACTCAAGTTTGTGAGTACCTACTAGAAACTAATTCGCGAAAAAGTTTTTGATACAGGTCTTAAAATGCAAATTGTAGATTCGCTGTATAGACCAATTCATTAGCTGTCAGCTTTGTAGTCAGCTGTCAGTTTCAGTTTCGCCAAATAAGAAATCTTCGGTTTTTTACTGTGATTGATTGAGCGAGTTTTATTTCTAAATACATTAATTAGGGATTATTGTTTTAAACATCAAGTGCATTTTATATTTTTTAGCTACATAATGGTTTTATAAACGTTAATAAATACTTTCTTTAGATAATTGCTTCACGTATTTGAATTTGAAGTACTTTTAAATTTTAGATACGAAACCGACAACGGTATCTCTGCCCAACAACAAGGTTTCCCCATCCAACCCCCAGACAGCCACCCATCAATCGGTGTAACTGGATTTTTCGCCTACACCTCTCCTGAAGGACGTCAAATATACACCAGATATACTGCTGACGAAAATGGTTACCGTGTAGAAGACAACGGATTACAGGGTAATGTTGTTCGTCAAGGTGTGCCAGTATCAGTTAATGCTGTCGTCGAATCTTCAACCGCCGCTTCCCAGAAATAGTAACCGTCTTTTGTACATTTTTCTTTTTTATTTTATTATTATATAATAAATTATAAAATTAATTAAACACTTTCCTTTTAATCAATTTACTTATTTACATTTACACAAAAGTCACTTCAGACACCATTGCCTGTTTCGAGCCAGGATTACAAGAAAGTAGTCTTGGTAAGGCTAGCAACGTGTAAAATTTGGTCATAAAATCATCAAAATGTTTCGGATTAGAATATGAACGATACGAATGAGAACCAGAAAAAGATTAGAGGTACAAAGAAAAAATATGAAATGTGAGAGTAGCCACCTGGATTTCAGAACATTTAACTGCACACACCAAGAGATAATAAACCAATTAAAAGACTACAAAATAGACATATATTATAAGCGCAATAAAAGAAATAAAAAAAGCAGAGGACAGCAATGGCTAAGGTATACCTTCTGGCATATAGCGGAGTTTTTATTAAATAAAATTAAAAATTATTAGTAAGTGTATACGGATCCGAGAAATTCAAATCAAAAGATAGCAGATGGAAATTTCACGAACATCCCTAAAGAACAGTAGATACAATACCAAGAAATACTGCAATAATGATTTTGGGAGACATGAATGAAGACATCCCTGATTATAAAATAGAACTTAGAATAAATAACACAAATCTCTATTACAAAAAGCATCACATATTAATATACTTAGAAACATAATTATATACAATAAACAAGTATTAGATATGCTATATCAAACTCTAACAAACATAAGGAGTGATCATAGATTAGTTTTAAGTACAATAAATATGATTTTGAAGCAATGTCAGAATAAATAGAAAACAATGTACGAAAAAAATTAAACATATACGAGTCTTAAAATGATTTATTCAATCCATGAAACGGATGAGAGAAATATCTACTGAAGAATAAGATGGTTAAGAACAATATGATCAATAAACAACTTTTTTAGCCTAAATTATTACTAAAGACTAAGACTAAGACTAAGGTCAAACTCACTAGTGCCCTTTTGGTTCTGTTAATTGAGTGCACAAATATTAACCTATACCATCACTTGCACTATACTCTGCTTTTCAGTTGACTAACTTGAAGGGTTTCTTCCTCCTGAGTCTTCTAGCCAGATCGTTGCTGGTGACTTTTGGTAAATTTTTCAATGATCTTGTTAACAGTATCCATTTCTAGGTCCATACAGAGGTTAGGAACCGCTGGATGGTGTATAAATTTCTCTTACTTGCACAACCCCACATCTGCATGTGATATGTAGTTATAGGTTTTAGAAATATTTGCTCGAGGTAACAATACATGCTATTAGTACTAGGAGACACGAACACACAACTGGGGAAAGAAGAATACTTGAAAGACCTAGTCGGAAACGGAAAAGGAACACTACGCGAAAAAACAAATGACAATGGCTACAGAATCTGCCAACTCGCAGCAACACTAAATATGACTTTCCTATTAACAAAATTTGAAACAAGAATCCAAGAAAACATGAGGCAACTTGAAGACATACATCTAGAGTGAAAATTGATTACGTTCTAGCAACCAAAGAATTAGTACAGAAAACGCTGGACACGAGATCGACGGACCACTTTCTGGTAATAATAAAAATGAACGCTCTCAAATAGAAAAAAAGATATCAAGACAAAATCAACCCTAATGAATGGAAGGAACCTAGAAGCATTAGAAGAGACTGAAATAAGAAAAACATTTTAAATATTGAAAAAAAAAAAATAAACAACAGATAATTAAAAATATATCCAACTTAATGAGCCAACCCACAATATAAACGGAAGATGGCAAGAATTATGGAAAACCAAAATAAATGAAACAACAAATGAAGTAATAGGAAAGAAAAAAGAAATAAAAAAGAAATAACCCCCTCTGTGGCTCAGTGGTAAGGGCGCCTACCTTTAAATCTAAAGGTCGTGAGTTCGAATCTCATCTGGGTGGATATTTTCGTTTATTAAAAATTAATAAATGAGAATAATTTCTATCCTTGTGCGATCGGTACTCACCAGAGGGACCGCAAACGTTCGGATACAATTAGCATCTCTTAGCAAAGACAATGACGTCGACTTTGCTAAGTATCAAGACTATTACTCTACACACACACACACTACACTAGGTTCCCGACTGTACCATGCCAATGATCATAGTTGTCGAGGCATTAACCCAATAAAAAAAAAAAAAAGAAATAAAGACTGGTACGATTAAGACAGCGAAACATAGAGTCCACTAAAACATTTCGCCAGAATGACAAGGATTAATAATTCATCGGAACAAAAAAGACAAGCATGCAAAATAACGAGAAACAAAGATAACGTAACGTATAAAAAAATAACTGGTTAAATGAAAAGCTAGAGGTTTTAAAAAAAGACAAAAAAAATCATGAAATAAAACAATTTTATAAAAAAGTCAAAGCAATAAAAAATACACCCAACATTAAAATAAGAGGACTAAAAAAACAAAACTGAGTACCCGTATTTGAAGATAAACATATCAGCAGAGTATGAAAAGAATATTACAAAAAATAATATTCACTACAGAGGAAAGAGACTGCGATGATGAAGTAAGATCAATAGTACAAGATAACAACTAAACAGAAATTCCCATAAGTACACAAAGAAATTAAAAACCTCCAAAATGTAAAAACAGCAGAAGAAGATGACATAATAGCTGGACTAATAAAATACGAAGGAAGAAAATTACATAAAGAAATAAAGAAGCTAATACAACAAATATGCATATAAAACATACTATCAGATGATTGAAACAGAAGTGTTATAGTGTTATATTATCAATAAAAAAGGATATTGGAAGGAGTGCGAGAATTACAGAGCAATAACCTTATTAAATACGACATACATAAAATTCTAGCAAACATACTGAACATAAGACTTAAATCATGCGCTGAACGAATATAAGGAAAATATCGGAACGAGTTTAGACCGTGAAGATCGACAATTAATTCCATACATACAGTGGAGCAAATAATTCAAAAATCGAGAGAATACAGCAGAGAAACGCACGTAATTTTCATATAATTCAAGAACGCTTTTGATGCCATTATTTGGACGAAATGGAAGAGCTAGAGCATCTTGGAATCTCAGAAAAATTGAAGCATATGGTCAACAGTGAGTCTAAAGAACAACACAGAAAAGTTTCAACTGAAGTTCTAAGGCGATCAAAGTAAACAAAGGCGTAAAACAAGGTGATTCTATTTCTCCGACACTGTTTAACATATTAAAAGCAATAGTAAGGAGGACAACATTAATAAACAAAAACAATATTACAAATAAACATCAAGTATTAATTAGCATTATGCAGATGATTTAAAGCAAAGACAAAGATGACACTTATAAGAGCAATTGAAAAATGAGATAAGGAAGCATACAAAATAAGGCTAGAGATAAAAAGCACAAAACAAAATACATAACGATAGGGAAGGACGACACAATAACCCAGAAATATCTAAAAATACATAACTACAAATTTGAAACTGTATCCACTTTTAGCTACTTGAGAGTAAGGATCCTTTAGCAAGGATCTAAGTAAGAAAACAAAGATGTTTGACTAGACAAAGAACTATATCAGTCCTTAATGAGATCTTTTGTTACATATGGGATGGAAGCAATGACGATTAACAAGGAAGAGAAAGATAGCCTACTGAAATTTAAACAAAAAATAATGAGAACGATACTGGGCCCCAATATAACAAGCGAGGGAGAAAGAATTAAAACAAGACATATTTTATTCAGAGACGCCAACACTCAGATATGCGGAGAAGGCTAACTAACTGGACACCATTATAGCCCAGGTGTAGAGAGGAAGGCTTAAAAGAAGATAGCTGGATGATGTAAAAGATAATATAAGAACAATGAATGTTAAAGACTGGAAAGTTCAGGACAAGGACAGGAAGAAAGAGAAAAAAAAAAACACGACAGCAGTAAAGACACACAGTAAGCTAAAAATGACATAGAGGAATAATCCACCTCACTTAAGAATAAGATTTTAAACGCCATGGCATTAGCTATAATCCCTATAGATTGTAAAGCTTAATGAATGAATGAAGTATTTGTTTTACACATGGGTTTATTTATTTACTTTTTCTACAAATATCAAATTGGTTGTTCTTCAACATATATATTCATTCTTCTTCATATTGATGTCAAAATCCTACCCTTTAAACTTCTTTATTAATTTCCGTATCATGTAGAAAGTCTTCGTAATCTTGAGCGAAGATCACTCGATCATCTGAGAACTGACTAGGTACATATTGTTGTGTCGGTTATTAGTATGACTATCTTCAACATTTTTAATTACAGCAAAAAATAAATTTATTATAATAAAAACGTGAAAAAGGACTGGCCTAAAAAAAGTTTTAATGAGCTGATAATATGTAGCAAACTCTCCACAGTAGAAAGTGTTATGAGACATTTATGTACCTAACAAGTTTATGAATAATAAACAAAAAAAAAGAAAACGAAAAAAGAACATGAAGAAATCAGATGATTGAAATAAGAACGGGAAGTAGACAGAAATTTCTGATAAAGCTGATTAACTACTGGAAGGCTCTACTAAGTATTAAATCATCATTATTCATAGTGATTTTTAAAGCTTCAATGAACATCCTTTAACTTACAGCAGTGTGTACGTTTTTGAATTAATAAGTCTAATTTAAATCAGAATTAATGCTATAATTCACATATTTTAAACAGTTTATTTCACCTTTGACACGTCAACGAGGAAAACTTGTAATTTATATGTTTATTAGGCATTTATTGCTCATCATAAGAAGTCAATAATATAATTATGGTAGATTTCGCGACCTTGAACCGCCCAAATTATGTTTAGAACAGGATAACAACCTAATTATAGATCACTACGATCTTGAAAAAAATAATAATAAAATAGATAATCTATAAGTTTACATTTTTTTATTATTCGTCCTTGCATTCTTAGTCTGGAAAAGATGTTATTATAATATTAGAAAAAAAAAAAAGATTTAGAACCATCACAAAGATTATTATAAGTTTGGGAAAGAAATTTATTGATAAATAAATCTTTTTTAAAATTTATTATGATATAAAATATCATGTCTTCATCTGGTTAATAAATAATTATTTCTTTCTTGCTTTCTATGGTCTCTTTCTTACAAAATTAGTTTAAAGAAAGCTATTAGTTTTTATCGTTCTGTTTTGTTAAAGTTTTCTTTTAACTAATACTTGTTCTATAAAGTGCAAAATAGTTATTTTATGCGGGTATTTTAATGCATAACTTTTTGGTCTCTAACTTTTAAGCATTTGCCCTACTAGATTTTTAGATTTTCAGGTATTTTTACAAAAAGGTACTCTTATTATAAGTCGGTAGGATATATCGTTTTCGAGAAAAATCGATTTGAAAATTTTTCGTTTTTTCGTCATAAAAGTTAAATTAATATTTTTTGCACTAGTAGGCTTTGAACTGTCAACAGAACTATAACGTACGTTTTTCATTGTCAAATTCTTGTCAGTTCGTGAAGTTTCTCTTTTAGTTTTTACTTTGTGGCATTCACATACAATAATTTTAATTCAACAAAAATGATTTTTACTAATGAGGAATAGGCTGGTATACATTTAGTTTAATGGGAAATAAGGTGTAACCCTCGAGCAGTAAAGTAGATACTCTTAAAAAATTTCCGATTAAGAGAAAAAATTTCAGTGTTCTTAAAAGATAATGAACAGAGCGACATAATGATGTAACAGTATTTGAAGATGTTACTTTAATGGTAATTAATGAAAATTTTGAAAAATGCGTACGAGGACTATCTGTCATGTTTCCGACAGTTTCAAAATCTTCCGCAAGAAGTATCTTACGCAACGAAAATTTATATCCTATGAAATTTTACAAAGGTACAAGCACTGCTACAAGGAGATTTTCCTGCTTAAAAAATGTTCAGTTGCTAACATATTAAACATTTTGTGTTAGTAATTAGTTCTGTCTTCTTCGCGTGCCATATCAAATTTATCCGACGTTGGAGATCACCATTGCGAAGGCTTCTCGATCTTTTGCAATATGGAATAATTGTACTGCATTTGGTATCTGAGTCCATTCACGAATGTTTTTTAACCAAGAAACTTGTTTTCTTCCTACAACTCTACGGCAATCTATTTTGCCTTTAAGGATCAGTTGTAAAATTTTATATCGCCTTCCCCTTACTATATGTCCCATATAAGACATTTTTCGATGTCTTTAGTAGTTTTCTGTCTTGGTTGACGCTCCATAGTACTTCTTCATTAGTTTTTCTTGCTGTCCAAGGTATTTTCCGTATTCGACTATGAACCCACATTTCCAATGCTTCAATTTTGTTCATAATCGATACTTTTAGCGTCCACACTTCTGCACTATACAAAAGTACAGAACAAACGTAGCATTTAAACATTCTTTGCCTTAGTTCTAAACTAAGATGGTTATTGCAAAGAAATGACTTCATTTTCATAAAAGTAGTTTTAGTCATTGCTATTTTACGTTTTATTTCTATCTCTGGATAGGAACTTGGATGAACTTGGACTGCGTTCAATTGAAGCTTTGCATCGGGATGTGGGTCACGACTTAACACTAAAAATTTGGTTTTGTTTGGGTTTATTTTAATGCTCATTTCCTCTCCTACCTCGTGAATACGATCAAGCAGAATTTGAATACCATCAATATTATCTGATAGAATTACTGTATCGTCTGCATATCTAATCACATTAAGTAGTTCCCCGTTGATTTTTATTTCATATGGTTGTCTCTCAAGTGCCTTTTTAAATAACTGGTCCGAGTAAACATTCCAATAGCTATCTCAAATCTTTACGATAGCAGTTTGATTCCAATACAAATTTTTAATGACACGAATATCCTTGTTATCTATTCCGATCTTTCTCAGTATTTGCATTAATTTTACATACTGTATTTTATCGAATGCCTTTTTGAATTCCACGAAACATGCAAATACATCTTTTCTTTGGTCACGGCATTTTTGTACTAGGATGTTAAGCGCAAAAAGTGCCTCCCTGGTTCCCATAGCATTTCTAAAACCAAAATGGGTATCTTCAAGATCTTCTTCGCATTTGCGTCTAATTCTGTTGTGAAGTATTCTGAGGAAAATTTTAAGAGTGTGGCTCATTGGGCTAATTAATCGATATTCTGAGCATTTTGATTTGAGTTAATCTGCGGGAATCACTCCGGTTTTATATATTGAATTAAAAAGTCTTACTATTAGTTTTATGTTATCATTCTCTATTAGTTTCAGCAACTCAGTTGGTGTATCATCTGGACCACAAGCTTTTCTAATTTTAGCATTATTTATAGCATGTTCTACTTCGCATTTCATAATTTCTGGGCCGTCAGTACAGTTTTGGTAGAATTCGGCAATATTAATCTGTCATCTTCAAACAACTCTATATATATATATATATATATATATATATATATATATATATATATGTATATATATATATATATGTATATATATATATATATATATATATATATATATATAACTGTCATTCTTTTTTTGCTCATTTACAATAATTTTGTTATTAGTGTACTCATTTCTTTCAGTTTTTTGTGCACATTAAATAAGTAAACTTAATTAGTTCTGTAAGATGTTTAATCTTACCGAACTAATTAATAAGAAAAAAAATGTTTATAATGTTGACAACTAAACATAAAATTGGTACATTTAACTAATATTATTTTTTAAACGGTGGCATTCGAATTGGCATGGGCATTTACTCGACTAACGATTTGCGATTTGCACTGTTCAGGGGTGAATGTATTTCAATTCTCTGTTTTAGCTTTTAAGTCCATGTAATGTTCGTTGTAGGTTGTTTTGTAGAGTCTGTTTCATTTTATGCCATACTCTTTTAACGAAATTTAGGACAGGACTGTTTAGAAGGTTAAGAAGAACGTCTATACTGTAGTTTCAAACCAGCTGTTTGTGGTTCTGGCCGTATGAGAGACCGCCTCGTCCCGCTAAAAATATAATTTTCTTTAGCATTTAATTTTACAATGAATCCAGATATGCTCTCCTTCAAGCCACCCTGCAGGGAAAAACATTTGGAAAACGAGGTTCAGGAAGAAGAAGAACATCTTGGCTAAAAATCCTTAGAATCTGGTTCAATACAACATCTGTGCAGCTTTTCCGCGTTGCTGCAGATAAAATAAAGATTGCCATGATAATTGCCAATATTCGCAACGGATAGGCACATTAAGAAGAAGATGGGTAGTAGGCTTTTTTGAAGTATTTTTTGATATTTAGCAGCATTTACTGCCATATAACCCAAAATCATCGTTGATTTAAAAAATTTTACGGTCCGCTTCAAACAGCCTTTGTGAAAAGTCCCATGTTTAGTGCGAATAACTTGTTTGCGATAATCATTAATACATAAGTCGAATTTTGATTCATCAAAAATTACTTCTAACCAATCTTGCCGACTAAGAAAGTTTAGATCTTGCTCAGAACTTGATTTGCTTTTAATTTGATTACAACAGTGGCTTTTCCTTTGCCTATGAGAAAATATAATTTTTAAACTACGAGTATTTTTATAATTTTTTTTTCTGTAATTCAATATTTTAAAACTTTAATCAAGGTTTATGTATCCACTTGTGACAGCATTCCCTTGACATATTTAATCCACTTGTATGATTCCCTTTAACTGTAACTTGCCTTAGAGTATTTCTTTGACTTTTGACCTTCAAAGATTCCATGTGGAAGTTTGGTACACTTATTTACTAACACCCATATACACATTAAATCTTATCCATTCATAAAATTTAAGATTACGTGCAAACTATCCATTTATCTACATTCTTATACTCATCTATCAGAATTTTGTAGAAACATAAAAAGTAAATATCAATGCTTATTTCGCAAGGAATAGTCTCTGTAATAAAAATGTCCGATTAAATATTTCTACTAAGGAACAATTACTTCGGTTGGTTTTACTTTTGGTTAGGATGAACAAAATACATGCTCTAAAAAAATCATATGTAACCATTCGTCAGAGGAATAGGGATTTAAGGACTAAGTGGAATAAAATCCAAGGGTTTTAGGAGTACAAAATTGGAAAATAAAGGCGAAGAATAGAAAGGAATGAAAACTAATCTTCGAACATCTACAATCCTCAAAGGCTGTAATACCAATGGTGATGATTAGGATTAATAATAAAAATATGTATTTGTCGAATAAATATATTTTATCTCAATACATAAAATAATAAACAGATACAGCAAATATTACGGCTCATCTATTACCTATATGTCAAACTCTATGCCCTCAAGAATGAGTCCTGGTGCAATCTCCACTTTAACTAGTGTTCCTTTATTGACATCATTTTCAGCAGTTAATTCTTCATCAATGTGGTTTTCTTTTGAACAACTAGGAATATTGTTAAACTCTGGGACATAATCTTGTTTATTATTGGTATCAGTGTTTTTAATAGGAGTAGAATCAACATGATTTACTTTTGAATTGATATAATTGGTATGATTGTTTTTAATATCATTGTCTTTAGCAATCTCTTTTGAGGGTTTGTGTATATTATGTTCAAATTTATTTATTTTTGAACCCATATCAATATTTTCCTTCGTTAATGAGAGTTTTCTGATAGTTTGTACTGCATCCTTTAAAGAATCTCTTCTAAAATTAGTTTTCCGTAACATCCCTTGAAAATTAAAAGGGGGGTCATCATCGGCAGTATTGTTGTCCTTTCTATAAATATTTTTTAGTTCTTCCACAGGATCTACATGATATCTTGGTTTAATACTAACAGGTGTTGCTTTTATAAATTCAAAATCTTTGTTAGCAGGAGATGAATTTTTAAGGAAATCCGGATTAGGTTTATTCTTATAAGAACCTTCGATCTTGCGGAGATTTGCTTTGTAAGGAGTTTCTGCATCAGCTGTAATATTAAAATTTACTTTAGGGTCTGCTATTTTTCTCCCAAAAGCTTTAATATCTTCATTGGCCATATCTTTAGCCTCTTTACCGTTTTCTGATTCTACAGGACTTGCGAGGGCTACTATCTCTTCATCTGGTTCTCGTCTATAGTTAGTGTTAGCTAGAGCATCACTGGTGTCCAAGTCGTCGTCTGTTGATTCTTCATTAGTTTGAGATCTGGATTCTCGCCAACGGTATGGACTGTCCCAGGATTCCTCCTTTGATCTAATATCTCTAAAAAATAGAAAATACTAGTCACTCTTTATTATATATATATATATATATATATATATATATATATATATATATATATATATATATATGTATATATATATGTATATATATATATATATATATATATATATATATATATTATATACATATATATTCGCAATCAATGCTTAAAGCGCAGATTAAAACGATGTATTATGTTTTATGATATTTTACTAATCTGGAAACCCACAAATATAAATTATATGTATGTTTACATAAAATTGTTTCCATCTTGTATCTTTTTAGCTTATCAATTGTATCTTTATAGGAGAACAACAAACACCGAAGTTATTAACATAATATAGGAAAACAAGGAACTGATGCCAATGATCAAAGATAAGATACGTAAACTAGCGTACATTGAACATGTAATAAGGAGAGGCAGATATTGCAGTTGATCATTAAAGGTAAAATTTAGGGGAAAGGTCAATAGGAAGAAGACGATTTTCTTTACTCCTTACGAAGTGGTATATTTCCAATAATGTATTATTTAAACGAAATAGCTTTATTTCCTTTATAAACTATTTACGGATAAGTAAATCGATTTTTTCACTTAATGAGGCACTTTAGCTTTGGTAAAGACCAATTAGTCAGACATTTTTTTTTAAACTTTGATAGTATACAAGGCAACTATCGAACACAGTGATTAATTAAATCTTGCCCAAGTACTTTCGATCAATAGATCATCTTCAGGGGCATTTCGTCAGTTGTGGCCTATCCGACATGAGTAGAATGTCATAAATGTAAATTTGGACATAACAATAAAGACAAACAAACACTTTAAAATTTTTAAAAGGAGAAGCTACATGTTATATAAAAAAAAATATAGGTTTTCTATATAACATGTAGCTTCTCCTTTTAAAAATTTTAAAGTGTTTGTTTGTCTTTGTGTATTGTATTGTTATGTCCAAATTTACATTTATGACATTCTACTCATGTCGGATAGGCCACAACTGACGAAATGCCCCTGAAGATGATCTATTGATCGAAAGTACTTGGGCAAGATTTAATTAATCACTGTGTTCGATAGTTGCCTTGTATACTATCAAAGTTTAATTATTCGAACATTCAACCTTATATTGACTTTAAGACATTTTTTTATTTAACTATAATAATATATTTTTTTATCGATTTCAACGTAGTGTTAAAATAATAAACTTTGGGAATCAAATAGTGTTTTGATGTAAAACTAATGAAAATAATTAGTAAAGTAAATAGAATATCATGTACACACATATTGTGTGAGTTTCTTTTGACGTGAGACCTATCTACATAAGGGCACTAGTTACAAATATTCACTTTTTTAATAATAGGAAGAATGCATATAGGTATATTTTACTTCAAACGAATAAACAAAACATACATAATTCAGGGATAAATCTATTATAAAACAACAACTTAGGGCCTAGACAATTTTTTAAAGGTTTAACACGGAGAACGTTTTTTTAGTAATTTTGGCGTTTATGTTAGTGATGTATCACCAGCAACATGCATATCTCATGCAAAATCATCGATTTTTATTTTATATGATTTAATCTACATTTACCGATGTATTATGATATTAAAGAATAAAAATTTAACAGATATTGGGTGTTTATTTTTATTTTTATTTAATATAAATGAAGAATTAAAGCAAGTTCTCTGCAAACGTATACACTGTCGTTTTATTTTCAAAAATAAACAAATAACGACAGATATTATGTTTTAGAAAAGAGTGGGGTTTAAAATCAAATATGTTAAATATTAATAACATGGTGATAAATCCAACAATAACAAAGGCATCAGTGGTATGGGGGCCTAAGATGTAGCAAAAATATTGCATCCTTAAATGAAGCACAGTGTGCATGCTCTAATGTGCTCACCAACAGCAACTATGAAGAATCTGCACATTGCTATAAATAAAAAGGCGAATATGGAATATTACTTTCCTCTTGTCATTATCCCATTATTGAGGATGGTAACGTTCCATAATAAAGTTAAGTACATGTGTTCATTGGTTTCTTTCTTCAGTCCTCTAAGAACTTGCAGAATAAATGTATTTGATCCACAGTCCACGTCCCGTTGAATGCCGCATTTGGTCCACAGTCCACAAAGTCAGTGACAGTTTCCTTATTTTCTCTCCTGCAACGTTTCCGCATAAAATTAGTATTTCTAATTAATTTTTTTTTTTCTGTACGCTTCATACTAAAAGAACTGAAGAACTCGCTGGACATAGGTTGTAGATAGTCTTGTTATAATACTTTTTTTTTTAATTTTTCTTCTTTTGTGAGGGTGAAAATTTTTTAAAACCATATCAGGTTAACCCATTCCTAGGGATGGCTAGCTTATATTGGATTCAGGGTGGAGGAGTTTATCCAAGACTATTTCCACTAGAAAGAGGTCCTGCAAACGGATGTCTTTCTGTTATTCTGCCTAGCAACTAAAACCACCCTCTCCTAATTGTGCCCAATAGACTACCGCACAATACTCCGAAAGTGGTATGGCCGCTCTAAGGCTGACGAGGCTGTCGGAGCACTTCATGCTCTTATTTTGATCTTATCTTTGTTTTTGGTCCGGCTGATGTTTCTCATCTTCTTCTTTCTTCCTAATAACTGCTTGGTTATAATCGTGTACACTATTTCATCCTCTCGTACTTCCCGTCATCTTCACGGTCATCTCTCTTACAGTCACAGGGTTCATATCTATTTCTCTATACATTATGTTCGTCTCCACTGTATCTACTACACTTCAGTATTGTGTGAGTAACGGTGTCGGAGTATCCGCAGTGTACGCATTTCTCTGTATCTGTAATGTATGAAGTTACTCCCTAAAATACCCATGTTCTGTTAGCAATTCGCTAGAAAGTAATAGTGTCGGTTCTGATCAAAGTCCATTCTATCCCTTAACTCTTCTTGCCATATTTCCATTGATCTTTCGCTTTCTTCTTTTTTTTTATGGCTATTGTTAAACACTCTCTTCTCTCATAGAGATGTCTTCTTTCTACTGCCAACACATACAGATGAACGCAACCCCTGTAGTCCACAAGGCCACCGCAGATACAGTCCTGTAAGCGTATGCTTTTCCAAACAGACTTGTTTTGTTCATTCGTACCCTGTAGGTTGTTATTTCTAACGCCCCACTCCTGACTGGTGCTGCGTAAAGGACGTTTCACTACACAACACCGTGTAGGTTCCTTCTCCCTGCTTATTTGTGTTCCCCAATGTTGGGCATGACTAACACAGCCGCACTCTTCGCTGCCTTACGGGCTGCCATATGCTCCTTCTCTCCGCCATATTTTTGAAGCGTCACTAGCTTATTGGGATAGCGATATTTGATATATTTCTTTTATGTTAGCGGTGCATCTGCACATTGGAGTTGCATCCCTTTTCTTTTCCGTTAACCCTTCAGAATAATGGTTTTGGTCTTCTCTGCCACAAGTTTCAGTCCGGAAATTGGAGATCCGGCTAATCTCGTACTACGACCAACATAGTGAGATTATTTACACATGCGAAGGAGGTTATAATTTCTTTGTATTCGCACAATTATGACCCCGTCATATGTCAGGTTCCATAGTGTTAAACCCAAGATCGATCCCCGTGAAACTTTAGCCGTAAAGTCAACGAGCGTGCCCTTCTATACCATGATCCTTCTCTCGGAAAGATATTCCGCCATCACATTCATCAAATAGTTAGAACACTTCTTCTCCCCCAACGTCCGCATCACCTCTTAACACTTCAGAGTGTTGACTACATTTCTAACATCGAAGAACAGCAGAGCAACCCAGTGCTGTTGGTCCACAATGTTGCGTAATGCTTCGATTACGTTTAAAACTGCATCAATTGTATTCTTTTCCTTTCAGTATCCGAACTGTCTAGGGGATAGGCTCCCGATCTCCCAACCGTTTTAATACTGAAAGTTGGTTTAAAATAGAAGGTTCGCTTACATATCAAACGCATCGATCTTCTGGCTTTCTTGTAACACAAGAGTCTAAATTTTAACACCAATCACCATATTGAGAAGACTAATGTTTGGTAGTCACATTTGGTTTGCTTGAGAGCTAGATATATATTTCCATATATTTATTAAGCTACTCATAACCTACTTTTTTTAGAACCTCTTTTTGGCAAGTTCCATTGTTAATTATCATAGAAAGTAGTTAAATCTATCTACCGTATTATACTTATGTAAATGGCCTGTCAGTTGTAAAATGCGAAATATGTCTATGAACATTATCTTTGTCTTGCTTTTATTAATTTTTTTGCCTAAACTACCTCTGCAGCGGGATATCTGCCCACGAGATGAAGCAGAAGAAATATATAACCAACGTTGCACGATACCTGGTACAAAGACTTGTTTAAAATTGCAGAAGGGTAAGTTGAAGGCATATACAGTAGTAGTACAAATGTAAACATTTCTATTTCACTAGGAGAATTTTAGTCTTTATTTCAGACAGATTTATGTAATCTTGCATTTTTCAAGAGAAATTAACATGAGGGAATTCGAAACTAAACGGATCATTGTATGTCAATCAACTATGAAGGCTCTTAAACTGGCTCTAGTAAAGTTAATAGATTTACGGAACATAATAGTATCACTCTGATAAGTATGGTAATGAAAAAGCTGATAAACTTGCCTGACGAAAATCAGCTGCAAATGGTCCATAGCCGTAGGATTGCCAAAAAGTACCATTTGCGACTAGAAAATAAGGCTTGATCCGAACATCCGTACGTGGTAAAATGTATATTGGATGGACATGCGCAATAAAGTACTACAGAACAACAGCTGCAATAAACTCAATCAGGCTTCATTACTGTACATGCGCCAGTCAAGAGAAACTTGCATACAGTGGAGCTGTTTATATAACTCCTATTCATTCGAAAACTATGAAATGACAATCTGTGAAATTTGTTTCCGAATGACTGTAAAATAGTATTTCTAGAACAGAAACACGTTAAAAACGAATAATACCTTACATTATGATATTGATTCCAATATACAACTATGGCAACTAAAGATCAAATAAATTTACATCAATAATTTCAGTTTTATAGTGGATGGAAATCGAAATATCGAAAAGAAAATAGATCAGAGACCATAGCACTTCTTCTTCAAGTTCCACTTCTATCGGAGATTGGAAATCATTCTGGCAATTATAATTTTATTGATTATTCGCCTAAATAGTTCAATTGAACTGCATCCAAACCATTTACGGATTTTACGTCTTCCTACGCTTCTTCTACCTTTGATTTTACCCTGCATTATATTACTTAGTAGTTCGTACTTTTCACCTTTCATGATGTGCCCCAAGTATTCCAATTTCCTGATTTTTATGGAATTTAAAACTTCGCATTGTTTTCCTAGTTGTTCGAGAACTTGTTCGTTTGTTTTGCGATCCATCCATGATATTTTCAAAATACGTCGGTAACACCACATTTCGAATGCTTTTAGGTTTTTAATATTGGATTTTTTAAGTGTCCAAGCTACAACTCCATACAAAAGGGTAGAGAAAATATAACATCGAAGCATTCTTATCCGGAGCGATATATTGATATCGCGATTACAAAAAAGTTTTCTCATTCAATTAAAAGTTGACCGCGCAATTTCAATGAGGCATCTTATTTCTTTTGTCTGATCAGTATCTTCTGTGATCCATGCTCCAAGGTATTTGTACGAAGATATTTGTTCAATTTCTGTATTATCTAGTACTAGCTTAACTTTGATGTTTTGTGCTTTTGTAAATACCATGAACTTGGTTTTCTTCAAATTGATTTTTAGTCCATAATCGTTGCAATATATATTTAGTTGTTCAGCAAGGTGTTGCAGTTCTTCTAGTGTTCCTGCCAGAAGGACGGTGTCGTCAGCATATCTTATGTTATTAAGTGGCTCACCGTTTATTATAAGGCCCTCACTGATCTCGGCAAGCGCTAATTCTGAGATGGCTTCACTGTATAAATTGAATAACAAGGGTGATAAAATACACCCTTGGCGGACCCCACGGTGAATCTGGATATCCTTGGTCAGTTCGTTTTCAACTTTCATTTTTGCTGTTTGATTCCAATAGAGGTTACAGATGATTTTAATGTCTCTGCTGTCTATGTTTTTATTGAATAAAATTTCTTTAAGTCGATTATGCTGCACCCTGTCAAATGCTTTCTCAAAATCAATGAAACAGGCAATAGATTCAGTATTCACAATTTTAAGTAATTCGATAGGAACTTCATCAGGCCCAGGAGATTTACCACCTTTAGCTTGTTTCATTGCATATTCAATTTCTTCTCGTATAATGTCAGGCCCAGTATCATCCTTAAATTCTTTTGGTGCTTCTGTTCTCTCTTTGTCTTCAAAAAGTTGTGCTATATATTGTATCCATCCCTGCATTTTTTGGTTTATATCTGTTATAAGTGCACCCCTTTCATCTCTTAGTTGCCTAGTTTGAAGTGTTTTTCTCATTCCCGTTAATTCTCTAATTCTTTTATGCATGTTAAAAAAGTCATATTTTTTCTCAATTTTTTCTAGTTCTTGGAACTGCTCATGTAACATTCTCTCCTTAGCTTCCTTTATTCTCTTTTTTATTAATCGATCAGTTTCATTATATTTAATTGGATTTTTTGTTTTGAATGATTTTCTTTCATTCATTAATAGTAGTATTTCTTCAGTCATCCAATCTTTATGTTTTCTATTCTTTGGTTTTAAGTTTTCATTTGCTGTTTTAATTATTGCTACCTTTATATTTTCCCATTTCTGATCAATGTTATAGCGACTTTTATTCAGTTCTTGGGCATTACGTAGATTTTCAGTAAGTTTTTACAGTTTGTTCCTTTGTTTGTGCTTCCCTTAATCTCTTAATATCAATTCTACTTTGTGTGGGTTTTTTAACCAGTTTTAATTTCGTTCTTAATGTGACTACATGGTCTGAACCGATGTCTGCTCTAGGATAAGTTTTGGCAGACAGTATAGAATTACGAAATCTTTGTCTAATAAGGACAAAGTCAATTTGATTTCGAATTATTCTATTCGTTGTATCACCGGGAGATTTCCATGTATACAATCTTCTTTTTGGTAGCTTAAAAAGTGTATTAGCTATTACAAATCCTTCCGTCTGGCAAAATTGTATCAAACGATCACCATGTTCATTTCTATTTCCTAGACCATATTCCCTAACATATCCATCCACTCTTCCCTGGCCAACTTTGGCATTGAAGTCGCTCATTACTATTGTAGTGTAATGTTTCTTCATTACACCATAGCACTAGAGAACGACATTTGGTAACAACGTAGATCAAAGAAAGAATATTTAAAGATTTATTTAACGATGATATTAATAATCCGAATATGATAGTTTCTAAAGTCTAGAGAAGAATAAATTAGTATCAAAAAAAGTTCCGTGTCAAATTTCTGGAAGGAGTAAGATAGGAAACCCAAAGATCTGTTGGATACAATTAAACGAGTTATGTTTGTAAAGTTTTTTAATTGGAATAATTCAAGATTGAATAATGCCTATGCCTGCTTTGAAATGTATGTATATTGTCACCTCTCAAATTCAACAGGTACTCAGAGGCAATTTTCCAAGAAACCCTAAAATACACGGAAGCAGGAATACGGTTAAATGGCTAACGAGTAAATAATTTCACTGCTCTAGGAGGAAATGGGTATAATGTACCTATGTAGTTGTGTTCATGTTCTATACGTTTTTTTAACTGGAGTATATCTCACATTTAATTAATTTCATAGTTAAGACATTTTAAAATAATCATCAATTGCGTTTTGTCTTTGTGCAACTTGTAATTCTTGTTTAAACACTATTTTGGCATGTTTTAAAAAATTATAATATTTTTAGCAGATAGGATATTTTCTTTAGCTCATGTTGTGCTGGTATTAAAGCTCTACCTGATTTAGTTGGTGGTTGCAATATTTCTACTTGGTTAACACTTCTTATTGTATTACTTCCCTTTAAACCAAGAATTTAAATCTTTTTTACTGGTTTCGTTTTAAATTCTCTTTCTGATAAATTTTGAAACCAATCGGCAATAGGAAGATTATTTTCACGATTCAATTTTTCTGTTTCTTGCGATAAAGCCTTCAATGTAGGCCATAGCTTTTTCCATAATGTTTGAATTAAGTCAAGTGAAACAGATCTCTATGCGTGGGTAGAAGAGAATTTGAACTAATAATTTTAATTTAATTTAATAGTTTATGAGGTAAAAGATATTAGGAGGTGCTATGTCGGTTAAACCTAACTGTAACTACTATATCTAATTTATTCTTTTTAGAAAATTTGGTAGCCAGCAAGATATAACCAAAATTACTAAACACTTAATAAAACAGCAATAAATTGGGGAATAGAGACGATCACTGGAATTCATCTAAACATTACCTACAGCTTAGGGTATTGATGTATTACAAGAAAATTTATTGATATCCTACCCTATATTTGTGAGTAAATCTGACATATAAGAAGTATTGTAGAAAGGAATATCTTCTAATCGAAAATAAAGTTTAAGAACCGAATTGCTGATCTCATCCAGATATGAACCTACTTGAGCTTTATCATCAACGTTGTTCAAGTCTATGCCTTCTTTCGTTTGCTGAAGTTTGTGGTAGGAATTCATGTTATACAGATGAACCTAAAACAATGTGTGTCAATAATAAAAAAGTACTACACAATTCGACAGATTTATGAAAAAGTGTGTTATAATCAAAAAAAATTTGTAAGCAGTGATCCAAAGTATTTATACTTAGTTTTATAAAATAATCTCTTATAAGTCATCTATGGAAGTTAAAAAACGAAAGCCTATTAGGGTTTTTACTTTGATTCATTATTTATTGAAAATTTTAAGACGAATAGATCTTCTCCTAAGGCCTAAATACGTTTTTATGACTACTGGGCGATTTACAAAACATTAATTTATATACTATACTATTTATTTTCCACTTAATGACGTTGAACAGCTTGATCCATTTATTCACAATAAGTCAATAATGTACTGTTTGTAAAATATAGGTATATTTCAAAGAATATGTAAATATTACATTTACTAGTAGGTATACTTTTTATTCATAGTCCTAACTTACGAAGAAAGCTGTGGATTTAGAAAAAAAGGTTTATATTTCTAAATGTAAATTATTGTGATTTTTTAGAATCTACATGACTAAACATAGGATGATTTGCATAATAAACTTTATATCCATAAAATAAACTCTTGGTGAACGAAGTAGCACTATAACCGATATAGTGGGTTACAAGCCGGGAACAAAGAAAAGTGATATAGGAGTAACACCTCTATAAAAAACTTTGGAAACGGCAAAATCAGTGGAAGTGGTAGATTAGGTTTTTGGGCATAATATAAAAGCGGGCCAATATGTGAGGCAGATAGGGCTTCTAAGATGTAGAGAAATAGGCATACTTAAGAGATGAACACTCTAAAACAAGCTGCTGCTCCTCCAAGTTGGGGCTTGAGGCGTCGGTATGAATCAGCAAAAGAAACTTTGGTACAATACGAAAAAAGGGACCCACGAGCAAAACGATACTGGTGGTACGAAGAAATAGAAAAGGTAATTAAAGAAATGAGAAAAAAATACTCTCAGAAAAACAACGAAAAGGAAGTATATGAAGAACCACAGGCTAGAGTACGAAGGAAAATATGCCAGAAAAAAAATAAAGCTTAGTAGAGAAACTGCGGAAAAATTAATTAATGTCTTGGAAGTTGCAGGAGTACAGAAAGCTAAAAAATGATTAAAATATTATGAAGTAATCGTAACAAAGAACTAATATCAGTAATAACATCACAGAAGAGAGATGATTATTTTAAGGAACTCTTAAATAAAGGTAGAGTAGAGTATCTCAATATATTCGAAGGCAAAAATGTGATAAAGGCCGGATCGCCTATGAGAATTACGGTTAATGAGTTGAATTGGAAAGTTTTCCTGCAGAATTCATCAATTATACTAATATTGCATTAACATAACCAAAGTATCTGAAGAGTGGGTACTATAGGGCAGTATAAAGATAAGGAAGCCAAAGAACAGGGTTCCGATAGTGTTCTGCACCAAAATCTATAGAACGCAATTGAAGAAACTCATATAAATATTGAGATAATTAAATCAATTAAAAATCTCATACTAAGGCCAAAATAAAAGTTAGCGGTGGAATAACGCAAGGTCTCACAGTTGAGAAAGAGTTAAAGTAGGGAATGGGAATCCTCCTAAATAACACTGAACTTTACACTCTGTGCTATGTAGATCATTAGATAGTGCTTGTACAGGAATATCATGATCTAAAGTATATGACACGAAAACTCATACAAGAATATAAAGAATGAGTTTTGAAGTGAATATGAGGAAAATAATATAGACCAAACGATATCCACGGATGACAAAAAAATAATTTACACCACAATTAAAAACATAGTTAAGTACGGCAGAAGTGTGGCAAATAAAAATTACAACACAGAAAATACTTAACATAATCCATTGGTAGTAAAATATATTAGCAAACGATATTAAAATAAAACAATCAATTTGTTGGCCATGTACAGAGAATAACTGAAAAGCGGCTGCCAAAACGAATTCTAAAGTTGGCGAGAGGGAGAGGCAAATATATGCGAAGAGGAATCTGGAAGACCTATGGGACGATAAGGACCAATGGAGCATAGGACTAAAAGCAAATTGAAAGACAGAAAAAAATGAAAAAAAGTGATTTTGAAAAAACTAACAAGGCTTTGTACATTTGATTTGCTAATTTAGAGACAAAAGTGTGCCTATCCAAACTTATCTTTAAAGAAAAGGCATTGCACTTCCAAAAGGAATTTCAAGAGGGTGAGCGACAGTACAGCAAGTATCGGCTGGCTAGATTACTGGAAGAAGTTCTACGAGATTCGTTAGCTGTGTATTTGCGGTAGGAAATTGTCATCAAACATTGAAGTAATGACTAGATTTAAGACAAGGCTTTAATTATTTATTAAGGTCGAAAATTTGACAGGCGATTAAATATTTAATTGCGATGAAGCAGGCCTTAATTATAAAATGTTACCCAATAAGTGGCTTGCAACTAAAGGTGAATCAGCAGGTCCTAACTATAAACGCAGTAAAGAACAAGTAACTATTTGGAGCTCTCAAAATGCCACATCAAGACATAAGAAGAATTTCAGAAAATTATGAATTTCAGACCACGCTTTGCCAGTGAAATATTGCAATCAGAAAAGTGCATGGATGAGCAGTGACTTTTTTAAAGATTGGTTCTTCATGGACTATATACAATCAACAGAAGGGTTTTTAAGAGATAATATTCTACGAAGAAAAGCAGTTTTACCTTAGATAATGCGCTGAGTCTTTTTGATGAAAGTAAACTTAAAAATCGGGATATAAAAGCCATGTTCCCTTCTTCGAATGTTAGCTACCTTTCAACCTATGGACCAGCGTGTTTTGGAGACGCTGAAAAGGAAATATCGGAGAATCCTTTTACCAACCATGATACAAGAAATGAACGATGGCCGAGACTTAATCCTTACATTGAAAATCATCAATTTAAAAGATGTTTCGTACTGGATCTCAAGTGCATGGGATAAGGTTGGGGCACAAACAATTGCAAAGTCTTGGGGTAAACTGTTGAATGAGAATGAAGAAACTGCGGACAACCCGGATGAAGTTCAGGAAAATATTTTGCCGTTAGTGAAGCTTATCCCTGGATGTGAGGATAAGTCTTTGGATGACGCAGGAGAGTGGTTTTCAAGAAATGGCCAGTATGAAATAACCAATAAAGAAATTTTTACTTTTGTTAAAAGTAAAGGTGGTTAAGACATTGAAGAACCAGAGACTGTTGAGCTCAACAAAGTATCACACAAAGAAGGAGTAAACCTTTTTGAAGCTGCAATCAAATACGCCAAGCAACAAGAAGAAGCTAGGGCTGTCGATATTATGATGCTACAGAGATGGCGAGACTTGGCAACAACAAAACGGAATATATTGACAAGGCAGATAAAAACCACTAGTTTTTTTGCTCATCCTAAATCATTCTATGTACAATGTCCGATATAAGTCAATGGTGATGAATGATTTTAGTTTTATTTTAATCTTTTTTACATTAATCTGTACCTACATTATACAGTACATAATTAAACAATTTTAAGAGTAAAGTCCACTGCAATGTTATTACAGTAGGTCTAAACTTGTGTTTTATTTAATCCTTCCTATTATCCGTTATCCGCCCTTCCGTCGGCCCATTTATGGTGGATAACTGAGACTCTACTGTATGTATATGCATAAAATATATATTGTATAAAAAAACACGAACATAATATAAAGAAAAAAAGACAAACGTAGAACGAAAATACAAGTAAAATAGACTAAAGAAATATAGAACCTACCGATGGGAAGAGAATATCAACCAACTGAATTTAAATATATCAGGTCTATAGAAATTATAGAGGAAAAGAGAAATAGCAATATGAAGTCAATATAATAACAAAAATAAAATAGAAGCAATGAAAATATGCTTAAAAGGAAATTGTAAATTAAACTCCATGATAAAGGCATATACTTTATCGAAAAGGTAGAAGAAAGCTCCGATGAAATAATAACTGATGCCGAAGATATATAAATTTAACATACATCTCCACACAAGTCAAAGAATTCATAAAAATGCTTCCGCAAAGAAGGCAACAGTCTCTGAAGAAATAGAGCTCTAAAGAACTTACCAAGGAAGGAAATAGTATACCTCACGCTAAGACCGTTCTCATCCCAAACCTGGAAAAAAACGATATATTTCTGCAAAATTATTAACCAATAAGTTTACTGACAGCTATAATCAAAATCGCAGAAAGGTTCATACTTCAAAGATTAACAGCGAAAACAAACCAAGTAAGAGTCATGCAGAACACGCATGCAAACTACACGTTCTGAAGTTAACAGGGTATATTATGCAATGGAAGAACAATATTACCACACTACATAGAAGAAAGGAGTATAGTGTAGCGCAGTTTGTTATTGGTTTTGTAGCAGTAAATGCTTCAATTATTAATGTTTTGAGTGTGAGGATTGAAGGACATCCTCGTTTTTTTTTTTGTCCTGTTTTATCCAAGGCTTTTGGCAGTTTGGAGATGGAGGTTTTCGTGATGCAGAGAGAGTGGAGCCTCAGTTCCAGGTTCCAGTTATGGTTTCAGAAACTTAAGTGTGATCATGTGAATTAAGGTAACATTTTGTTCAAATTTTAAACTAAAGACAGACATTTTTTTTATAAAATAATAATTGCTTTCGTTGACATTTAAAATTGTAAATTTTAGGTTTTGAGTAAAGCTGTCAATTTGTGTTTAGTTTTTTTTGAAATTTAATGTTAATTTATGACAGCTCGTTTTAGTATTTTTGATGTTGATTTGTTTTGTTTTTGTTTTGTTTAAAAAGGTTAACCTCCATGCAATTGTGTAAGTTTTGTAGCAATGGAGTTTGTTAATGGATGACACATGTAAGTTTTTGAAAGATGTAGCTGAACAATTAGAAAAAAGTTGCTAATTTAAGAACTTATTTTTAGAAGCATACTGACACATCTATTATACACCGCGCCATTATAGGAATGAATGACAGAACAGTAAATAAATTAGCGGAACAAGAAATACGCATAAGAAAACTTATATGTATAGTCAGCATACAAATGAAGTCAGTCAAAACTATGTCGATAATACAGGGTCGAACTATGGGTTGACGCTATCAGAAAAGATGTCTCCCGAAATATATGGTTTTTCTACTTGTCATTCAGGTCTCACCAAAAATTACCTGAAATATATCATATCGATAAAGATTCTCAGGTACAAAACAACAATTATCAATATGTTATGGGGGTTGTCTGACACTTTCTGTAAGTGAATATAAGGAATAACATGACGCACTAGGAAAGATACTACTTTAAGAGAAAGCTAAAAACTAGGAACTTTTTTTAACCTAGCATCTTCTCTATTATCAATAAGTCCCTAACAGTATGCTTAAGAATGACAACTACAAGTTAACCTGGAATCAAACTGTAATCAAACATCAACCAGTGGCACATAATATACCGGATTTTATAAATAGACAAACAACACTTATCAATATTATCAATTTACCTAACAACAATAATCTGCCTGTTAAATACAACGAAAAGATCGCTAAGTGCAGAAATCGTTAGAGAAAAATAAGAAGACAATGGAGAATGGTAGGTATCCAGACCACATTTATTATTCTCTTAACTAGTGGTGTCATTTTAAAGAACCTTTCAGAAAATATCAAACGGTTGGCTGATAACGGAATTTTTTGTGAGATTTTCCATTATACAACTGTCACTGTTTCGATAACACGACAAGAGTCCATCAGAGTTCAATACTTTTAATACGGTATCTAGGCCAAGTGAATTTCTCTTAGAGGAAGTGATAGTCATTTGGCTTAAATCTGAAAAAAATTTAAGAAATATGTAACAAGAAGTAATATATTTACCTGTTGTGATAGATTAAAAAAATCCTGAACCCTCTTCGCTCTATATCTCATTAGGACCGAAAACAAACTCTGGCTCTTCCATTTTCTAGCGAATGGTCTAATAAACGTTTTATCTTCTTCTTCTAGCTGACTGTATGATTCTAGTACTTCTTTACGTCTTGCAGCATTTCTGTAAGCTGAATATACATAACTTGTCTATTTTATACTACAAACGCATTACTGAAGCTTATTTACATTACTTTTAATGTTTCTTATGTAAAATTAGTTTGTATAAATGACTTTACCCTTTTGAATGACTTCTGCGGCTTCGTCTTCCGTCATTAGGCTATCCCTTCGCTTCGTTTTTATTTGTTCAACTGAAATAAGAAGGCCATTATCTAAAATCTGATTAACGGATCCAAAAATATAAGAACTAAATAAATTTACTATTAATAAAAGTCAAATTAAATAGTAACCTACAGATACATCAGAATCAGGACAATTTATCTATATAAAAGGCTGGGACGACTAGTTACATTTTTTGTCCAGTAGAATAACTACGCCACCTAGGAAAGAAATCTGAACTGCCAACACTTGACATTTCAATCATATTTTGTTCTTGAAACGATGTGTTTAATTAATAACACTAATATTGTTAATTATCTTTTAATACAATTAATAATACGAATATTTTTTCCGCAAAATTGTCAAAACATTAGTTGTAGTAATTTTAAAATAAGATTTAATAAACAAAATAATTTAAAGCTTTATGTTAGTTTAGATTTAACCACCTAGAACCACCTAGGAAAGAAATCTGAACTACGAACTGACAGAAAAAATAAATAAATTGTTTGCCAAATAAAGTAATGAATAAAAAGTTATCTCAAAAATAAATTGTGTATATTGTAGTTTTTTATTATGTTGTAGGTTATCGCGAAATCAAAGATATAAGCTAAATATTATTGTTTATTGTGTAAATAGGAGAGTATGATCAGTGTAATGTTTAATCTTTATAAACGTAGTGTGAGAACTTAATATTTGAAGCAGACTCGAACATTTATTTTTTTTAATAATACCGACTTTTTTAAGGGGTTTAGAATAAATAAACCGACAGTGATCTATATTATGAGAAAATACTATAAATAATTGTTAATAAAATAATATAAAAGTGGGTGTATACCTCTTTTTCTTTATTTAGTTTAGGAATTCAGTGTTTTCATATTCTTGATAATTAAAAAAATTTATTAATTAACGTTTTTCGCGAGATATTGGTACCATTGATTATATAATAGTAGTACAGGATTCCAAAATAAAATACATACAAGTACAATTATAAAATACATTAAATTATATAAAAAAAAGAATTAAAGTAAGCATACAGAATATCCAGAGTGTAGCACGAAATTTGCAAAATTTTTAATAAATTTTCTATATCATCATCATCTTTTGCTCTACAACCCTGGGTGGGTCTTGGCCTGTTCAAGAATTAGTCACAGTATAAAGAGGTTAGGTTAGGTTAGGTTAGGTTAGTATAAGAGGTTCCACAGTAGAACCACTCTCCGAAAATTGGAAGTAAAATCTGTCAACGCGCAGGGCGACTGCGCTTATTTCTTAGTCGCTCGAGAACCATTTTTCCATTGCTAGTCGCGTAGAAACGTACGGGTTAACAGTGCCGTATTTTGCTTAAACTGAGTTAGTTTTGTGAATAATTGTTAGTATTGTGAAGTTAAACATGAGTAAAATTCGAAGTGGTATTAGTCGGTGTTTAGCGAAAATGTACAAGAACAATTCAAAAAATTGTAACTACAGTTACCTGCCCTGCACAACCTGTATAACTTGCCCTGCTACAAAATATAATTTTAGATATTATTACAAAATTACAAAATATTTCTTTAAAAGTGGTAGGAGTAGTATGTGATATGGCTCTAATAATCTTAAACTTTCAAATTTGTTAAATATATTTGCCAATAGACCATATTTTTATCATGAAAATAATAAAATTGTCTTTTCTTTTGATACACCTCATTTATTAAAAGCAGTCCGTAATAACTTCCTAAGAAACAAATTTGTTATTGATGATATTATCGCTTCTTGGGAATTTATTAAAAATTTTTACGAACATAATAAACAATACTCTATACGTGCAGCGCCATAATTGACCGAAACACATATATATCCTAACAATTTAAAAAAAAAATGAAAGTGAAATATGCTTCTCAGATATTTAGTAACACTGTTGCTGCCGGTCTGCATCTGTATATTAGATTTAATGTATTCGTCGAGGAAGCAACAACAACCGAAACATTTATTAGGAACATTAATAATTTATTTGATATGCTCAATTCTTCTTCATTAAGAGGAGCAACTGAGTACCAAAGACCGTATAGAGGAACCGATGCTCAGCAAGAATTTCTTAATACGTGTTTCCGATTGTTTAATAATTTACAGGTAATTAATTTTAAAGCTGAAAATGTAACACCAAGAATAAAATGTGTTAATGGTTGGAAAATAACCATTAATGGAGTGATTCATTTGTGGAATCTACTACAGTCACATGGAATGGATTATTTTTTAACAAGGCGGATGAATCAAGATTGTCTAGAAAACTTTTTTGGTTCAATCAGGCAGCAAGGTGGCAATTGTGTTAACCCTACTCCGGTACAATTTAGTGCAGCATTCAAAAGATATTTTTGTTTAGACATGATGCATTCCGGTACAGAAAATTGCGAAAGAGATGCAGGCGATATTTTGTTAAATTTAACCGATATATTACGACGAATATCTGCCCGAACCCTGCTTTGGTTCCTGAAAACACTTTGGATGACCAATGATATCAAACTTCAAATAAATTACAGAAAAACTTCACAAGATATATATGCGGTTATTTAATAAAAAAGTGTCTTAGGAAACATGTTTGTCAAATCTGTAAAGCATATGGGAGAGATCACGATGAACTAGACGATTCGTCTCTGTTTTGTTACGTTAAAGCCTACAGTGGTAATGAAACAAACGTTTTTGGCAAGCTCTATATACCGAGCCAAAATTTTGTGCAGTATGTTACAGATTTGGAAATTATTTTTCAAGAGAATTTTCAAAATTTTAGTCATCAACCGAAAATCTTACAAAACTACGTTAGCTTATTCGAAAAAATACCATATACGCATCCTTGCAGCAATTTTCCAAAGGGTTTTCTGGTTAGATTATATGCTAGAATTAGAATATATTACACATTAAAAACAATTAATAGAAATTTTTAAGTATCTAAGACAAAAGGACATAAGGAATTAATAATTTGGAAACATAATTAGCTTTACTTGTTTTGGGTTTATATGACTGCGGACACTAAATAGATTCGAAAATTTTAATTTTTGTTTTTACTTATTAGTCATGTTTTGTATACAATTTTATCCGTAAACTAATAACATTAATTTTTAATAAATAATCCTTTTATATTTTTTGATAATTTAGTTAGTTAAGTAATTTATAATTTAGTTTTATAATGTATTTTTTTGATAATTACTTCTTCTATAATATAATATAATAAATTCTTCTGCAGCTCTATACTTGTTTCAAGAGCTATTTTGCCATATATTGTCCAAGTTCCACATTTTTTAGGAGGAGAATAGGAATCACCCGGTACTCTCTCCAACTATCTGAAATATCACCCGATAACCATATTTGATTAAAAAAATTTAATATTGTTTTTTTGTTTTCTATTTTGATATAAATTTGCCAACAATATAACGTACATATATTCCTATTCCTGGCGAAGTATTTTTCTTATTCTTAAAACTGCTTTCTAATTCATACAACCTAAATAGCACTGAAAGTGGATAATATTGTGTAATGGATAACACTGAACATAATTTTCTTAAAAACACATCAACTCATTCTCCTTTGATTACTGTATTTACTTATGGTTTACAAATGGATTTGACTAGACTATCTCCAGCAGACATTCTGACAATGCAGATGCTTTGTTGATCTGACTCCCCACGTTCTTTACTGGGCCACAATTTACTGTGTTCAATTGGGTCCCACTGGGTCCAATTCGGACGTCGGTTGTCAAAACACAAAATATTAATTTATTTTTGTATTTTGATAACGACGTCTGAATTGGAAGTCTATACGTTAATAAAAGTATTTATTAAAAAATTGTTGAAATTGTTAAAAATAAGAAAGACGAAGAGAATTTTTTTATTTAAATTTGTGGCTAAAAATCACCATAAAATATAAAAAGCTTCTCGAGACTATTAAAAAACTTTTTCTATTCATTTACGGTGATTTTAAGATTTGGTTTTACTGTAAAGTCATGTAAAACTTTTGCATAATGTATAAAATAAATGGTTATCTTTTCAGCAGTTTAAATTTTAATTAATGTACTCTTGCACATTACGCGATTGATTTGATGAAAAGACTATTGCAAATTTTAATTAATTTTTGCAGACTACAACTAAAACTAAACGAATAATGCAAAAAACACAAAAAATCGCCGATATAACCAAATTAAATTACGAAATGTAAATAGTGACAAAATTTCATAAATGTCAATAATGTCAAAATTTCATAACAGTGGAGTAAACTTGCCTACCGTTGGACGAATTACAAACAAGCGTCATGACGCGGTAAATTTGAATTACTCCTCCTGGTTTAAAAACAGAGTATAATAATGCCGTGAGAGCTTCGAAATTAACCTCCTTTTTATTTTACGTTTATATGACGTGGATAATATATTAAAAATCATTGAGACTTAAAACTTGCACGAACCCCCTCTGTGGCTCAGTGGTAAGAGCGCCCACCTTTAAACCTAAAGGTCGTGAGTTCGAATCTCATCTGGGTAGAGAAATTTTCGTTTATTAAAAATGAATGAATGAAAATAATTTCTATCCTTGTGCGATCGGTACTCACCGGAGGGACCGCAGACGTTCAGATACAATTAGCGTCTCTTAGCAAAGACAATGACGTCGACTTTGCTAAGTATCAAAACACTTACTCTACACACACACTACACTAGGTACCTGACTGTATTATGCCAATGATCATAGTTGTCGAGGCACTAACTCAATAATAAAAAAAACTTGCGCAACACCGTTGATATGTTAAACACCGTTGAAAAATACAAACATTGAATTGTAATATTGTTTTTCATTTATTAAACCCTTTGTTATTGTAATATTAACATTTAGTAAGAACATCTGGACAGTTAAATATGGGAAGCCACATTTTTTATTTTAATAAATAATAGTAGTAGGCTCAGAAAGTTTTTAATACGCTCTATAAGGTTAACGAAAGAAGCGTGCGGCATCCGCCCGCATCCACCACTGGTGATTTACCAATTTCGTACTTTGCTGGTATTACTTCCTGAGATCAAAGTGCCGACAGACGAGTAGTTTTACTGTGAACCTCTTTATACTGTGAATTAGTCTCTATCCCCCCTATCTTTCGACCTGGCTTTCCAATTTCTGACCTCTAGATTCCTCAAGTCATTTTCGACTTGAGTTTTAAATCTAGATTTTAGCCTGCCTCTCTTCCTGGTTCCTACTTGCTCTTGATATAATATCTGTTTTTGGGGATTCTCCAGTGTCCATTCTTTTAAGGTGTCCTAGCCACCTTAGTCTATTAATTTTAATAGACCGGACGATGTTGCATTTTTCATAGCATTGATACAACTTAAATGTAGCGCCTGCGCCACATCCCGCTTTCTTGTACTCCTGCCTTTTCTAAGGTTTGTCTGAGAAGGAAAATCTGATCAATTGTTGACCTTTTTTATACTAGTAAACGATCATAAAGTATATAAGCCAGTACTTTGTAAGCCGTATTTAAGAGAGCAATGCCTCGATAGTTGTCACATATTAGTGGATCCCGTTTCTTGTGAATAGGTCTTATAATACCTACATTCCAACTGTTTGGAAATTTTCCGTCTCTCCAAATGGATGCAACAAGTTTTATTATGTATTTTTTTAGCACGTTTGCTTCATACTTGAACAGCTCAGGGTGGTATACCATCTACTCCCGAGGATTTGTTGTTTTTTAACCTTTATATTGCCTTGGCAACTTCTTCTTCTGTTGGTATATTATTTTTCTCCCTCTTATCGTCTACGTCTCCACTGTGGTTATTTAATTCAGTCACTTCTCGGTTGCCTATATTTAGTTTCTCAGCAAAATTCTCCGCCCATCTCTCCACTATTTGATCCGGCTCATTGATAATTTCGGCTTTCTTACTTTTTATTATGGTTATTCTAGGTTTAAATTATTTTCTCTTGTGGTTCACATTTTTATAAAATTTTCGCGCTTTGCTTTGTGAATTAAGCCTTTCTAGTTCCCGTAGCTGGTTTTTTAAATATCGTTTTTTCTTTTGTTTTAGTATCTTTTTTTCTGCTTGTCCCATCTGTTTGTACTCCTCTTAATGTTGTTTTGTCCTTCTCTTTTGGAGTTTCACATAGGCCTGATTTTTTTTTGAGTTGCCTGCGTCTATTCCACATCATACCATTCTGTCCCCTGCCTTTCTTGTTTTTTCTTTCCTAAAACTGTTGTTGCTACTTCTTATAGGATATTTTCGCACTCATTCCAGTAATTATCTATATTTTCAACAGTACTACTTATTTGGTCTTCTAGTTTTTCTTTAAGTTTGTATTCACATTTACTAACTATCTCAGGGCTTCGTAGTCTGTCCACCTCGAATTTATCTTCTTTGCTTCCTTTGCCTTTTTTGGCGTTAGAGATTCGTGCTCTTAGTTTAGCCTGGACCAGGTAGTGAACAGAGTCAACGTTTGCTTCACGTCGGGTACGTACATTCATAATATCGCTGTAATGCCTTGCGTCCACAACAACATGGTCAATTTGATTGATTGTGTTACCGTCTGGGCTAACCCAAGTGCCTTTATGTATATTTTTTCGTTCAAAGCATGGCTATCACCATATATTAATATATATTAATATTCATTAAGGCCACAAGAGGTATTAAGCGTGTTCCATTGTTGTTCGACTCGGTATGGAGGCTATATTTTCCAATGGTGGGTAGGTAATCGTTTTCTTTGCCTATTTTAGCGTTGAAATCTCCAAGTACTATTTTTATATCAGCTTTAGGGCAGTTCCGTATTGTTTCTTCCACTTTTTCATAAAATTCATCCTTTTTTCGTCTAGCTTATCTTCTGTGGGTGCATTAGCATTAACTACTGAATATTTGAAAAATTTTCCCCTAATTCTTATTTTGCATATTCTGTCGCTTACGGCTTTGAAGTCTATTATTAAGTGCTTCACTCTGCTGCTGACTATGAATCCTGTTCCAAGTTTATGGTCTGTTGGGTGGCAGCTATAGTACATTGTATATTTCTTTTTCTCGAATATTTTTTCCCAACCACCTAACTTCTTGAAGTGCTATGATGTCTAAGTTATAATTATCCAGAATGACAAGGAGTTCCCGCAATGCTCCAGTTCTATATAAGGATCTCACATTCCACGTACTTTATTGTAACCCTTTGTTAGAACGAAAGTAGTAGTACGAAATTTTCAAAACTTTCAATAAATTTCGTGATACTTCTTGGATATGTTTTTCTAGGTACCTACCAGGTAGGTATAAATATTTCTGTATTCTTGATAAGAAGTTTAATAGAAATGGGTTGTTACTTGAAGATTCTGATTATACAGTGAAGCCATTTTTAAGGAGTTCACTAAACAATCCATGAAGAAAATTTCTATATTAAATTCCAAATGAAAACTAGATATGTAACAGAACTTTTTATGTATGGAAGAGAAGGTTTATTTATTATTTCATCCAATGGAAGTTGCTGCCAAGTTGAAAAAATTCAACCGTTCTAATATACAGCAACATTTTACGAGTAAAAACTAGCGAGAGATAAAAATGAAGACAATTTTGAAGATAAATTGCTAGGTGAAGACGTTATTGAACTTTCGAAAGTTAAAGATATATGAGCTAAACTTACTTGAGAAAAGAATTATTAAACATTCTTCTTCTTCCTTCTAGTATATAGGCTTTAAAGGCTGTTTCTTCTTCGATATTAGCCTCATAAATTGTCGCACCATCTTTTTCTTGGTCTGCCAATACTTCTTCGTCTATTTGGTGATATCTCGTGCTATTCGTACTATTCTATCCTCTGCCATTCTACTGATGTGTTCGTTCCACTCCTGTTTTCGTTTTGTCATCCATCCATTTATGTTTTCTATATTGCATGCTCTTCTTATGTTTTCGCTTCTCGCCCTATCCAACAGACTTCTCCCTGATATTCCTCGGAGTATTTTCATCTCTGTTATTTCTAGTAGTCGTGTGTGTCAGGTCTTGTCTCCGCCGTGTATGTTAATATAGGTCTAATTGCTGCTTTATAGATTCTTGTTTTTGTGTCTTGTCTTAGGTGTTTGTTCTTCCAGATTGTGTCATTAAGAGAACCCGCCGCTTTACTTGCTTTAAGCTTTGTTGTCGTACTACTTCTTCAACATCTCCGTAACTAGTTATATCTATTCCCAGATATCTAAACCATGCTTCCTACTTTATTATTTTTCCAGCCTAGGAACCAGACGTATTACAAACTTAAAACTTGATAAAATATTTATAAAAATTTCTTTTACCATCACTATTCTCAACTCAAAAATAAGGACTGACATTTTTAGTGTTATAAATACCATCATGCTATATTTACTATATTTATCGTTTTGTAGAATATACGGTCCTTTTATTCCATTTCTGTGGCTGTGCCCATCTTTTTCACCTTAATTTAAGTGGCCATATCTCACCATATATAGTATTAAATATTAGTTTTTTGTTATCATCTTCTATGATTGTTTGGACTCAGAACATGCCATTTATGGATCTTGAACATTCGTCCAAGTTTATTTTATTTCTGATTTTACTCTAACTTTAAATATGGATTATAGTTGAAAAACAAACACTTACAAGAAAAAAACATGAAGACAATTAAAATTCTAAGTATGCTAAATACTTACCAACCACCTTCCTGTCTTTCTTTTCTTGTTTAGCCATCCTACATTTAACTAAAAATCCTCTTAATATACTTTGAATTTTAATGATTTTCTTTACATGTGTCTCGTATAACCTCGACAAATACTCCTCATTGTAGTACTTTAGAAAAACTTTTGATTTTCCCAGCGCCCAATCTTCCATTTTCAATCTAATCATTAAAAGTCTGCAGTTGTCTTTTGTAATGTCAACATTTTCGTCAAAATCAAATGCAAGGTACTTGTACCTAAGACATAAAGGAATGCAATTATATTTTATTCTATTTTAAAAGATACGAGTAATAAATGACATTTTTGTGTATTCATATAAATGTTCTATATACTGATATTTAACAAATATTATGAGTAAATAGTTCAGTTAATTTTAAATCACAAAAATCAATGATAGTTGTTGTTGCCTCGTCAGAAATTTGATCTCTAAAACAAAACAAATTTTAAATTTTAAAGAATTTTGCTGAGAATTTAAATTTTGGCACCTCAAAATAAAAGAAAAACAGTTTGCAATTCCTACCTCCGGGTTTTCCCCCTAAAACTCCCCTATTAGAAGGGGAAAACGAAAAATAGCCAAGTTTGAACAAAATGTTTGAACAACGCTTGAAGCGACGGTTTTTGGGTACTTTGCTAAATTTTTGCAGAAGGAAGACCACTTCTGAGCGGGCACTCATTTCAAGACTTGAGTCAAGACTTATTTCTCCTGGAGCGGTCTTTGAGGAAAGACTCGCCATATCTTACCGTCTCTGTGTTACCTTCTCTGTGCATTTTCTTTCTAAGTGTGTACACACTGGTATATTGAGTTTTTTGATCTAATATCATATTCGATTAAATATTGGTATAAGGTACCGTTTAACTTTAATTAATTTCAGTGCTTGATACAAGTAAAGTATTGTAGTAAAGTAAATTAACTTTAGTGAATTAGTGCAGCAGTCATCAGGAATTACTGTAAGTTATTATTATCATAGTATCTCCACTTATCTGGACCAATAATATGGTATAGTATCATATTAACTTCAATCATCTGGGCGAATCTAAGTTCATCCATGTCTTCATCTGTAGTTGACAACGAACTTTCCATCTTCTTCTTCACCTGCCATCTCCTCTAAGAAGATTGGCAACCATCATGGCAATTCGCACTTTCGACGCCGCTGTTCTAAAGAGGTCAGTCTCATCAGTCAGTCAATCCGAGTTAAACCAAGCTCTCAAATTATTCAACCAGGAGATGCGTCTTCCTTCGCTACTCTTTCTACCCAGTATTCTTCCTTGCATCATTAATTGCACCAAGTTATAATGCTCGACTCTCATAACATGTCCCAGATATTGCAGTTTTCTGATTTTAACTGTATTTAAGACTAAGAAACTTTCCATCAACTACTAAGAAATTTCAATAAATAATAATTACTAACATTTAGTTCTCAATCATTAAATTACAGTGAGAGATAGGTAATTAACTACGACCAAGTGCGGGTTGGTTAAATTTTTATTTCTGTAACGTTTTTGTATTTTTGTAAATGTAGATTTGATTAATTTTTGTTATTTGCTATAATTGTTATACGTTTTTAACCCAGTATCTCGAGATATGCCCATTAGACAGCAAAGACAGACTTTCTTTAATCAACTTTAGTAGAATAATTTTATACAGCATTAGACTCTCTTCGCTGATTATTGAACCTGCGCATTATTATATTTTTGTATTTGTAAAGGTATTTATTATTCATATTACTGCTTATTTTTATATGTATACAACCATTGATTAATTGATGGTACATTTTTTATTACTTGTGTGTACATTCTGCCGCCTATATCATTGTGTTGTTGAATATATTGTTTTTGTTTTATGTATGAATTTTATTTGTCGACTCCTAACCTAGGTCCTTGTAGGAGGACACTGTGAAAGAATTAATGTTTCTGAATGATTTCTGAAATTTATGTCATGAGTGCTACAGCTCTCTAGTAGATTCTTGATTTGATTTTAATGTTAACGTCTTTATTTTGCTATATTGTATTATTACAGATTTTAAAAGAACACTTGCCTTCGTAGAAACTCCGGAAATGAAATTCGCTGCGAGAACCCATTTTGCCTAATTTTAGCCGTTTCTGCTACAGCCATGGCTCTTAGCTGATGCTTGACCAGTTCCCTCTTAAAATTACGAGGAACTCCCTTTAAATCCGTTCTTACACATCTTACAAAATGCGTTCCTCCTGACCCCGAACCGACGGACAATTCTCTTAATAATTCTATACAAAGTGATCTGAAAATAGTCGATTGGGTTCGCATTTTCTTTATCTGAGAATATTCCCGTTCCATAGCCATCTAAAACAATAAAAACAACAAATTACTTTAAAATATTAATATCGAGTGTTTTGAGATATAAGTCGCCGAGCAAGCTATATTTTGCTTTGAGATGAGAACAAGATTTGAGATACGAGGAATCGTACACTACTAGACTAAAACTTAGTCCGTGTGCTTGTTTTTCTAGTTTTCACGTTTTTGATAAGTTGGGTTCGCGTTGTTTGCTTTTAGTACATTTAAAAAACATTATCAAATTTATTTTTATAACCATGAGTCTGAAGAAGATGATGTCTATTGAATTTAAGCGTGAAATCATGGAAAAAAGGTATATGAGTAATTTACTTGGCGAGGATGTACGGACGTAGCATATCAATGATATGTACTGTACTTAATCAAAAGGAATTGATAAAGGGTATAACGCCAGCTAACAGCGTTACAAATAATTTCTAAGCTTCGGACCTCTCTACGTGAAAAGATGGAGAAACTACTGATGGAGTGGGTGACAGAAAAGTAGCATTAACGAGAAACCGTAACACAAAGCATCATATATGGAAAAGCAAGAGCGCTTTACAGTGATTTGCTGAAGCAGAGGGAGTAAGGGCTAGTTTGACAACTTTAGGAAAAGGACCGACATTAATTTCGTTGTCAGGCATGGCAAGGCAACAAGTTCTGTTGTAAAGGCAGCTGAGGTTTACATCAGCTGCAAAGGATACATTCTTCAGCAAGTCTTCAACTGTGGTGAGGCAGACTAACTTTACTGGATTGTAGATAGCGAAAAGGACCTACATAGCGGCATAACGGCAGAGGAGAAGACGATGCCAGGTCACAAACCTCTCAAGGATAAATTAACTCTAGCACTTTATGCCAGTGCAAATGGCAACGGGAAAATCAAGCCTCTGCTAATAAAGTTGGGAAAATCCGAGAGCCTTTAAGTCACATAAGATTTTAAAAGAAAAAGTGCAAGTTATTTGAAGGGTAAATCCGAAGGCATGGGTTAACAGGAAATTCTTGTGGAGTAAATAAACCTAGTGTTTGGTCCTTCTGTTAGAAAATATCTACAGGAACATAACCTACCCATGCTAGCCCTTCTCGTTCTTGACAATGCTTCTGTTCACCCACGAAATCTCGAAAATGATTTACAGAGCACATTTTTCGGCACTGCTTTGAGGGAACAGAGAACATAAACCTTACCCTTCGAGAGTTCTGGAAAGACCACTTTAACATCGTGATATGACTAAGAATTATTGATCAGGACTGTCTGGATGTTACGACGAGGACCTTAACCTCTGCACTAAGAGAGCTGTGGCCTGGGTCTATAGCTGAAAGGGCCTTCGAAGGATTAAACCCGAAGTATCAGTGGCAGAGGAAATTATTTCTGTAGAAAATTCATGAGTCTATAGGTGGATAGTAACCTATTTTTGTCATATGTTTTTTCTCACAACTAGAAATCTCCTTTCTAACAGACATATCACTAAATATAATATTGTAACCAATACACAGCTATAAAATACGTCTACTCTGTTTCAACGATTAGGCAAAACTGTTTTATTGTTTCTATGAATAAAGAAAATTTATCTAAATCAAATCTGACCTTTGAACCAAATACATATTTATTTTTTCTGGCTTCCTCGGACGGCATAACCATATTTCCAGTGCGATCCAACTTTGAAGTAAACATTAAAGAAATTATTGGATTTCTAGAATTTCTCATTGTTTCTATAATCTCAGGTGCTAGGAAGTCTCTATTTCGGTTAGGCATTTTTCTACAGTTATAAGTCACCTTGCCGGTATAATGAACAATTGAAAAACTATCTTCATCGTAAACCAATATTTTTCGTTTCTCTTCATTATAGATGTTATCTAAAAATAAAGGTAAATAAACATAATTGTTCATAGTAATTATATTTTATTTTTATTGGCAGAAAGTTCAAACATAGTTCAAAGTAAAATTGCCTAGTTATTAGAGTAGATCTAATTTAAGAAATATTTTAAGACACATGAATGGGTTTAATATCTTTAATACTAAGATACAGCTTCTAAAAGGTGCAACATCCATTCTAAAGTGGAAAAGTGCCACTATGCCTTACCAAGGCCATTTGATTTAATTTAGTGAAATAATTAAACGTGGGTGAACAAAACAAAACACAATCAATCAACGAGGGAGACTCAACACACAACCCAATTGTATTAATCCTTAGAGCAGTAGAAACAAACTATAAGCAACTCTACAAGAAAAAAAGGACACGTTGGCCAAATTACAAAATAATAGTAAGCGAAATCATCGAAGCAATATCAGTTATAAACACAAAAGAAGAACTAGAAGATTATGTCCTAAAACTAGAGGGAACAATACAAAATGCTAGCGATAATAAAAGAAAACACAGGAAAAGAAGAAGAGCAGAACAGAACAAGAAACAAAGAAAAATTAAAGAATTGCTAACGAACTGAACAGGTAAGTCAAAAAACAATTAGAAGAACACAGTAGCGAAAACTGGGACAATTATATCCAACAGCTAGACCCAAACGAATCCGCGTTCCGGAAGCTATCAAAAATACTAAAAAAAGACAAAAAACCTATTTCACCCCTACATGAAAAAAATGGAAACAGACGGGAGTGGAAGTAATGAAAACCACGCTAGAAAGATGATTTTTAAAGAACTATCATCCTGATGAAGATTTATACTTCACAGAACAAGTAAAAAGAAGATATAGGAATATAAAAAGAAGAAAGGCTAACATATATATTACTCTCACCTCCCCTGAAGAAGTCAGACAAGTAATCAAGTGTACCAACGTCAAGAAAGCTCCAGTGCCGGACAACATTATGAACAGAGCTCTGAAAAATCTGCCAGTAAAAGCAATAGTATACATAGTAAATTTAATCAATGATATCCTAGGACTAAGATACTTTCCTGACACATGGAAGAAATGCACATTTCCACAAAACTATCGACCAATATGCTTATTACCAGCTATAAGCAAAATTGTAAAGCTGATCATACTAACTAGACTAAAAAAAGAATTAGAAGTAATCTGAACAATACCAGAAGCACAGTTTGGATTAAGATCCGAACACTTATGTGAACTTCTGGTTCTGAAAGGTTAATATAGAGAAACAGAATTCCTGGCCCAAAGATATATCAGCAAACCATATCTATGTATTAGCAAAAATGATTCGACATCTTCAGAGCCGCTATTTTATTTCAAAGCCGCATAGCCAATTAGATTGGGAACCTTTGAAGCAAGGAAACCCAATAAGATGATTATGTCTATCCGTGGAAAAAAATCGTCGGAATGTTGGATGTACCATTTTTTAGTTAGTACAGTGGATATTCGTTGGTTAGGCCATAACGTAAGAATGGTATATATTCTTTGTAAAGAGCAGGTACCTACATTATTGGAGGGAGATCCATGTATAGTAATACTCAACGTATTCGTTACCCCTCCCCTTTCCGACGATACCTAACACGTCACGATCAGACCAATAACAAGAGAGATATGCTGTAATGCCGTTTTCGAATTGTCTTTGCGTTTGTTTTTTTGTATTAATATATTCTTTACCCTCTCCCCTTGCCGACAATACCTCACACGTCACGATCAGATCAATAACAACAGAGATATGCTGTAACGCCGTTTTGACAATGTCTTTGCGTTTGTTTTTTTTGTGTTAACGTACCCCCTCTCCCTTTCAACGAACCGTCGCGCCTCCACCACAAAAAGATCAAAAAATGACCAGAATGGACCTTAGATTTTCTTATGGAGATTTACATAGGAACATGACCAATTTTGATGTGGAAGCCCTGCTGTCCCTTTACTAGTTACTTTTATTAGAGGCTAAAAAACAAAAAACAATGTCTTAGGTGTTAATATATCAGACAAAGGTAATATATCAAACAAAATAATCAGCTGAAGGCAGTTTATTATCTTTACTACATTAAACAACAACTTCTGCTTGTTACCTGTAATATATCTTCCACGATGTCCTTTTTTCGACGCATCATCTATAATAGCCAATAACCCTTCAGAATTTCCAAGAATTTCATTTAAAGTGTCTTTGTTCTTGTAGTAATTAATTGGAACAAAATCAATATCTTCTTCTTGAAGATCTTGTAATTCCCACGCAAACACTCTTTGCAGGAAATGATAATGAAGCTGTTCGTTAAATGTGTTTACGAGGAGTTGAGAAAAGCGATTATCTTTAAAACATTCGAAACCAAAGAAGTCTAGAATTTTTACTATATAAGTATTTCCACTAAAAATATAAATATATTAGATATGTTTAGATAGAAATATATCGCCTTTTAGGCCACGCAAATAAATATCATGAGTTTTACACGTTGAGTATATTAGTTGAGAATTCTTATCCAACTTTTCTTAGTAATATATATCTTGTTTCTACTGCAAGGTCCTTACTTGACCCAACTTATACCAATGTGGGAGATTTCCATAATAACATACTTGACAACAATGAACTCCACCTTGATGAGGTATCCACATCTGAGTCTTCTCCTAGATATTGCTCATTACCCTATTTCCCACAGGTTACAGAAAAACTTACTAAATTGTTTAAACCCCTATCTACTAAAATAGGCATCCAAAAATTGTAAAACAGTTGGAAATCTCTTTTCATGTACCAAAACACCTTTAGATATTTGGGAGAAATCAAATGTAGTATATAACATTCCTTATATACTCCCTATATAACATTATATATGATAATCTCAGCATAATTTATTATTCCTTACTATTGAACAATCCTTAAAATCTTTCTAGTTAAATGTTACATTTCATAATTTAACTTAGGTACACCTAAATCCGATCAAGGCATGGCCTACATTTTTCGGTTTTTGTCCTCTAAGAAAAAAAGTAGCTACCATCGGTTATACCTTGATACTTCTAAATTAAATCCCTATATTCATTTGAAGGGGAACTTTAGCAATCTTCATACATCACATTCGATGTAAAATCCTTTCCAAAAGGAACTACATGGTGAGTTAAACAAATTCATATTACATTATATTTCATTTATATTCACTAATTCTAGGTTTCCCAACAATGGTGGTCGGTACCTTTTATTTCCAACCTTCTTATAATTAGATTTACAACTAAATTGACTTTTCTATTCTGTCCTGTAAACAAGTATTTTTGTCGTCAGTTGATTTTTCGTACAAATACTGATTTCCAAAGTCATATTATTTTTTGTTTTGATCTTCGGAGTAGTAGATCCCTATCTGTCAAAAAAAGTTGCTTTTTTTAATTACTTGGGTGTCTCTAACAATAAAGTTAACTTTTCCATGCTTTTCCTCAATAAAAATATTTCTTATTCAAATTGTTCACTAAGCTCTAATTAAAACAAGTTACTTTTTCTCCTGGCTTCATGTTTCGATATATTGTACATCAGCGGTAGAATAGAAGTATTGTATTATATTATACTGTTCTTGTTAACATATTGTGAAATTTTTGTGACTTTTTAATGTTTGTATAAATTAAAAAAAACTCTGAATGTATTCTTTTACTGTAACTTTTATTGTATTTATTTAATGTATTTTGTAACATCTCAACATATGCATTTGACATTGTTTGACATCTATATATGACTTTACAATCATTAGAACTGAAGAAGTGCAGAAATAATGCATGAAACGTTTTCTATTAAAAAATTGAAATAGTTTTTTCTATAATAGGACCCCTTTCAATTTATATATATATATATATATATATATATATATATATATATATATATATATATATATATATAAGGAGACAACGAAATGTTTCTTTAATGAATCGTACTTGGCAGCTCATTAAATTTATTATTTCTTACTCCTCTTTCATTTTAAACAGACAGTGGCTCTTAGTTTTCAAAATTTCTATACTCATCTACCTATTTTGCTTTACTTTTTTGCTATTTTATGTTGTTACAAAACTGGTCTTATTCCCATGACTTTATTTGCACTTTGCCTTATTTTAGATAAAATATAATACATTATTCAAGTATCACAATACGGAATGTATTACTCAAAACTTTTAAGGTTGTACTTTTATGTTGCAAACTAAATGAATCGGAGGAAATCTGATCAGTTGAATTTATATAAACAGAAACTAGAACTAATATAGACAATATGAAATTTATACTTACAATATAGCTTTTCCAAAAGATAACTTATTATTAATAGTTCCGACGATATAATCCACCAATCTCGCATATAGAGTATTGACCAGCACATTTCTTACTTCTATGGCCTCGTTGCTGCTGTGTCTTACTTTATACGCATTTCCGTCTTTAATTACACAGTAGTTTGTTAGGGCCCAAGAGATCTTTTTGGACTCTACCTCAAGAAGATCCGCAAATTCTTCGACCTCTTGTTTATTCTGGATGACAGCGACTGTATCTTTATTTTCTTCGAAAACTATCTCTCCTAGATGCAATATTGCTGCTAATACAGAATGTATGGTGGCAGTATCTTGGGAGGAGAATTGAAGTTCCTCCATATAGCCGCAAAGTTTTTTGTATTTAATTATATTGGCAGCTACATCATCTCTTGGAGTATTGGTTTTGGACTTCTTTTGCGTTCTCAAGAAGGCATAGTCCCTGCTAGTGCTAAGTTTATATTTCTCATACATAGGTGTAGAAGTAATTCCGTCGTAAAAATAGTAGAAGATATGGAAATTACTTTGAAGCCTGAAAATGCAAATAAACTTTAAATGTTTAAGAAATTCTTATAAAAACGGAGCCTCATTTACTTACATATCTGTGGACGATACTCTTGATTTTTCAATGCAATGTATCTTAAAGCTTGCCCCACTTAATTTCCCAGTTTTGCCGTAATTCACCTCTGTCTTAAAAACTGCCCTAGTGCCATAATTGTTGGAAGGTGTGGACGCATGCATTAGCGAATGTAACAATTGAACAGCATTTTTTATTCTACTTGAACTAACACTTGTATTTTCTCCTAGATAGAAGAGGTGATCGATCAGGTGTAAATAATTGGATGTCTTGCCAGAGCCAGTTTCACCTAAGAAAACTATTTGCTGAACAGTTTTATGATGTAGAGCGTTTTGATAGGCTGTATCTGCTACGCTGTAGATATGAGGCGCATTATCGGAACGTGATTTAAACTGATATTTTTCATGAAACTGCAAAAAATAAAATTAAGTTTATACATATAAAATGTGTGAATCAAAGAAACTATTTTGTATAGAATATAAATATAATTAAAAACAAACTGTTTAGGTTACATTAAATAGTTAGTATTTTCTTTATTTAAAAAATACATATAAATATTATCAAAATTTTCTAAATGTCGTCAACTCTTTCATCAGCTATTTTACTCATTTCTACCGTAATACTTTCCATTAAATACAACACAGGAGTTACGGATTGAACAATCAATGCGTATGCTTTAAGAAGAAAGAGACCACAGATAAGGGGCGGAGTTACCGAGAAAGAAAGCGTTAGGAACAGCTAGCAGCCACTTTAATTTCCTACTATCGACATATCTTTGTCAACGAATTTAATATAGGTGTTCAGCCTACTTCTGTTGGTGATTGTAATACCTGCTCTAAGATTAAAGTTGTAACTTAATGGGTTAAAGACTAGCATCCCGAATTCTCCCCGATACTCTACCCGATATTACTTTTAACTGCGTCGAATGGCATAGAACTGACAAATATTCCACATATAAGGTATCTTTCCCTTTCGATAAAATTGACGAAGTCTACAGTCCTAATATTTGGCCCAATGGAGCTTGAAACCTAGAAGCTTCTACAAACTTTCATCAAAATAAACAAATTCGAAAAGGTACGGTAAGCATGTTTCATGTTAATTTGCAGTGTATTTCAAATAAAGTCGATATGATCAATGCTTATCTTGCGGATCAAAAATTATATGACGTCATATGTTTTTCGGAGCACCGGCTAAGTGAAGAAAATTTAAAATTAATTAACATCTCCGGATTCTCATTAGCCAATTTCTTTTGTAGGGTAAAAAAGAAACAAGGCGGAGTTGCAATTTATGTAAAAGAAAATCTTATGTATTCTTCTTTTAATTTAAATGAATATAATGTAGAGCAAAGTTCTGAGTTTTGTGCAATTTATGTACCTTCAATGAAAACCAATGTTTTAACTGTATACAGATCGGGTAAGGGTGACTTTGACTTATTTTTGGTGAATTTTGAAAATGTCATAACATCCTTGCTTAGTAAAGCTGACAAACTAATCATACTTGGAGATTTTCATATAAATTTTAAAATTGAATCTGACCATTTTTTTGATATTCAAAATCTATTAACATCTTTTGGTCTAAAAATAACTATAAACGATTATACTAGAATCACATCCCAGTCCAGAAGTTGCATTGACAACATTATGACAAATTTTTCTGAAAATATCTATAGAGTGGGCGTATTTAAACCTTGTTTTTCTGACCATCGAGCTCAATTTTTATTTATTGACTCAGAGCATAAAGTTATTGACACTAATCAAACATTTCAACGGTTTATTACTTCTTCTGGTTTACAGAAGCTTAAACGTGCGCTAGCTATTACAAACATGGACTTTTTCTACGATATTAATAATGATCCTGATTCTTTGACAGTCTTTCTTACCGAAACTTATAACAATTTAATATTACAGTATTTTCCACTAAAAAAAGTACGACAAATGACTGAAAAAACACCTGTGCAATGGTTTAATAATGAATTAAGGTCTAACAGATCTAATATTTCTCTTATCAAACACATTGCAGAGGCCACTAAGGATCCCGATTTGTTCAAAGTATATAAACAACAAAAAGTTGAATATAATCGGCAATTAAAAATTGCTAAAAAGTCAGCTTACTGTAATTTTATTACTAATTCCAATAATAAACCTAGAGACTGCTGGAAAATAGTAAATTTCGAAAGAAACTACACTAAATCCAGTTCGGTACAACTTGATCTACCTCCAGACGAAATGAATCAATTTTTTAGTACAATTGCAGAGAATATAATTACATCTCTTCCCTCTATTAACGTCGATGTCCTCGTCAATTATAGAAATTACCCTTCTCCGAGCAAGTCATTTTTTTTCGGCCCGTTCTGAAGAAGAGGTCTCTCAAATAATAAGTCGCTTAGTAATTCTAATTGTAGGGACGTTCACGAGATTAATAGCAAAATTTTAAAAGAAACTTACCAAATAGTTTTAACAGCTTTTACTCATCTTATTAATTTAATTCTATCCACCGGAGTATTTCCAGAAGTACTAAAATACTCAAAAGTACTACCAATCTACAAAAAAGGTGATTCCTCAAAAACTGACAATTACAGACCCATAAGCATTGTTTCTACTTTTGGGAAAGTGATTGAAAAGGTTATCAAACAACAATTTTATTCCTATTTTGAGTCAAATAATTACTTTAGCAACTCACAATATGGATTGAGAAGTACTCGTTCTACTACGAACGCGGTATTTAATGTTGTGAGCAAGGTGATTGAGGGGCTTGAACGCGGCAATCGCGTAGCAATTTCTCTTTGTGACTTATCAAAGGCTTTCGACTGCGTTTCACACGACATTTTGCTCCACAAATTAAATTACTATGGAATCAGAGGTATCCCTCTTAAGCTTATAACTTCTTATCTATGTGGCAGACACCAGGCGGTAGTGTCTAAAGGTCATCTCTCTGATTTTCTACCCGTAAAACATGGAGTCCCACAAGGTTCGGTCTTAGGACCTCTTTTGTTTATTATTTATGTCAACGATCTGCCTAAATTCATATCTCCGTACAAAACATACAATTCGCAGATGATACGACATACGTTATATCAGGAAAAAATATGATGATTTAAAAATGTCTCATGAGGAAGTTTCTACTAAATCTAGCTCTTGGTTTGCTGCAAACAAACTAAAACTTAACTCTGATAAAACGCAAAATATGGTTATATCTGCAAGTAATTTACACAATGATCTAGTTAACAAAGAGACTGTTAAACTATTGGGAATAACCATAGAAATCGACTTAACTGGTCTGCTCATATCTCACACCTTAAGAAACAGCTATCAAGTTCATTATTTGTTATTCGCCAACTAGCAAGGGTTGTCAACTTTGAAACATTAAGAATGACATATTTTTCTTTATTCCACTCTCACCTAAACTATGGTTTAATTATATGGGGCAATTCAACAAATGCACTTCAAATTTTTAGAATACAAAAGAAAGCTGGCAGGATTTTAGCAGGGGTTAGTTATCTAGAACACTGCCGACCTGTCTTTATTAAATTCAAAATTATGCCGCTACCTAGTCTGTTGATATTTCAAGTTTTAACTCAAATTCACAGAAAACGTGCCCATTTAATAAAGCAGTCTGATGTCCATGTTCACAATACGCGAAACTGTCACTACCCACTAACAAATCGCTGTAGATTAAGTCTTTCAGAAAAAAATAGTCTTAATTATAACTATTACAATATTTTACCAAAAAGTATAAAAAAACTAAGCTGTAATAGTTTCGATAAAGTTATAAAAAAATATCTTTTAAAACATTGTTTTTTACTGCTCAAAAGAATATATGACTCATTGCAGAACATCCACTGAACTGCTTACCGTAACTTTGCCATAAATATTTTTCTGTTTAATGTTTTCATGTTTGTATTATTTATCTGTTTAATATGTTTTCATGTTTGTATTATTTAATGTTTTATTATTTAATACTATGTATGTTTTTTTTTGACTTGCTACAAACAATATTTGTATATGTTATGTAGTTAAATAAATACTCTACTCTACTCTACTCTACTCCCAGAATAACTGAATTGGATACTGAACTGAAGGTTTATTTAGCAAAGCAGAAAGCTGCACAGAATATGATGAAAAGCTACGAAAGCAGGACGAAAACCAGGATGAAAATAATAAACTTGTATGTACTGCTTTACAACAAGCATTGTCCACGCCTAAACTTACCTGCAACCTACAATACTACAAAAGAAAAATGTGGACTTAAAACAACTTAGGAATCCACAACGTCAAAACAGAAACAGCCATAATGTATGTATGAGATGAAACCATCGCTAAACGCGGATCGTACGAGAACTTTGCTAATAAGCATTTGAGAAAAATTATAATTTTTAATAAATAAGAACATAAACGTTGTTTTGTCTAACCTTCGCCACATTCATGTAAATCGTTTTGATCTTATTAAGCACGTTGTTTTTAAAGATCAAGGACTGTGAGATATTTTCTAAAGAACACTATATCCATTTCATTACATACACTAAAAAAAGGAACAAATTGCAAGTTGTTAACGTCACGGAAAATGGTTAAGGATTTCAGTATTCTTCAAAAAACAGCAACTAAGTCTTAAATGTTGGGAGCTAACTTTAAGGATGGCATAATATTCGAATTTTCAAAAGATTTTAAGATGGGCTTTGTACCCATAAATGTCATACTCCAAGAGGATGACTCTTGGACGACAGAAATTGCACGATGTAATAAATTTTAACTTGGATAGCATAGAACTTTCTCTCAAATACCAGGGTGCTCTCAAGCTTACAGAAGAAAAGAAAAATGACCTACAAGATCTTCGTGATTATGTACCCATGCCTCACAAGCGTCATTACAAGAAATTATTTATGGAGGAATTAGTACAAGTAAAGTTGAAGAACCTGTAGACGATAAAAATCAAATTGAGTTTAATTGAAGCATTATTTGTGAATTTTGCAAATTATTTTACTGCTATTAGCTTCCACATAAGCACTTTGTTAACAAAACTATGTTTATTTATGTAGAATAAATAATATTAAACCCCTTTTCTTTTATTTTATAAATAAATCAAATATTGCAAAATCCTCTTTTAATAACGGTATAGTTTTACGTAATTAAGCCACAATTGGCTGTAATGATAAATAAATTAAAAATAGTACATTGTTTACCGGGTAGAAAAAACTTAACATTCCCGGACGACTGTGAGGATTGCTAAGTCGAGGCGAAAGCCGAGACTTAGCAACACAGAGTCCAGGAATGTGGCTTTTCCTACGAGGTAAACATACTATTTTTCCGCAAATCGTTTAAAATTCGACAGATATTGATTGATTTAAAAAAAAAACGCGATAATTTTATTCCCAAATAAATGGTGCTTTGAAATTCCTAATAAAATTACTTGGGTTACTATGGAAACGTATTGAGGTTGAATTGTCAAACTTGACGCTTATAAATTTAATTGCTGGTGTTGTCGAAAGTAAAATGATAAGTGATGATGAAATTTCCATTCCTGGGACTCCTCCAGAGCTGGTTGAGGCAGTGAATACTGCTTCATTAGAATTATTGCCAAAGAAATCAAGAGAAAAGTACGAAAATGCATACAGACGTTTTATGGATTATCGCATGAGTAAAAATACGAGTTCTTTCTCAGAAAATGTTGTAATGGCATACTTCCTAGACCTTTGTTTAAAGATGAAATCTTCAACATTATGGGCCAATTATTCAATGCTGAAGTCAACCCTTGCACTTAAACACAATGTAGATATATCTACATACTCAAAACTTCGTTCTTTATTGAAACGGCAAGCTAAAGGTTATAGGGCAAAGAAAATCTAAGATTTTAACGAAGGAAGAAATTGAAAAATTTATCCAGGAAGCTCCAGATAAAGAAAATTTAATGATTAAGGTAATTTACAAAATTTTAATTTCTATTTAGATTATAGCTTTATTTATTTTTTAGGTGGCTGTAATATTTGGTATTTCTGGGGCCTGTAGAATAGATGAGTTAGTCCGAATGACTGTACACGATATAGAAGACTTAGAATCTAAGCTTTTAATCAGCATACCTGATTCAAAAACCAACAAACCAAGATCATTTGTAATTAATCAGATCTACTTGAATGTTTATCAAAAGTATGTTTCGTTAAGACCAGAAAATATGAACAGTGACCGATTTTTCTTTAAATATCAAAGCGGAAAGGGTTGTAGACAAGTGGTAGGAATTCATCAATTTAGAAAAATGCCCAAAATCATTGCTACTTATTTGAACTTGGTAAATCCGACAGAATATACTGGTCACTGCTTTCGTCGGTCTTCTGCAACAATATTGGTTGACTCTGGTGCCGACATAACTAGTTTAAAGAGGCATGGCGGATGGAAGTCATCAAACGTTGCTGAAGGATATATCGAAGAATCGCTTAACAATAGGTTGAGGTGGCAAATAAAATTTTCACAGTACAAAATATTCAACAAAATGACACTTCCACCCTGCATGTTAGGGATGGCGGTTTTTGACAAAACACCGGTTTTCGGTTATACCGGTTTTTTTGCTTACGGTTTAACCTGGCAGTTATAACCGGCCAAAAAAACCGGTTTTTCAAAAACCGGTTTTCGGTTTTTTTAATCAAATAGATTAAAAAGTTACATTTACAACGCACTTTAGTTTGCGATACTACATTCGCAACACAATTTTTTGTGTTTTGTGAGACAAAAATTCCCCAGACTTTCAAATGGGATTTAAAGAAAATAATATCAACATAAATATTTTACCTAAAAATAAATTGAATAATGCAATTCATCTTTTATTTTAACTACCATCAAAAAAGATTTATCATGTATTACTTTTAACTCATTTACGACTTCCGGTATGGGTAAAAATCGTTTTGAAAACGTAGGGAAATCCTTGTATAGATTTAGATTCGTATTCGTAATCGGTAATTCGATATTCACAGTCATTATTTTTGGTAATCAGAAAAAGCCATTCACCCACTTTCAATGTCAGGAGTCAAATAACCATAATAAATACCAGATCACTTCTTATGTAAAGATATTATGATTACAAATACTTTTTCAACGAAATACTATAACAAAATTTAATTGTTTCTGGCTAATGTGAGGTTTTGCTTCTGTATAAAATAAAAATTGAATTTTAGTTTTGTTTGGAATAATTACTTGAGAATAATAATTATGATTGGGTGGGATCCAAAATAATACCTAACCTAATCCTAATCACTGTAAAAACCTAATAACCGGTTTTACTTTAAAAATAAAAAACCGGTTATAACCGGGACAAAAAAACAACCGATAAAACCGGTTATTTCGAAGTAAAAAAAACGGTTTTCGGTTAAAACCGGTAGGTTTTTCCCAATCCTACTGCATGTTGTCCAAAATGTTTCTCATAGTTCTAAGAGTGTTCCTCCAATGTTCAATAATTGTACTAACTGTCAAATTACTGTAAATATAACACATTGATCTTAAAAATGTATTCAGCAATGACTTGATGTTTTCAAAATATAAATTAATTCCTTATAAGCAATGTGTTTTCTATCATTTATGTAGAACACTAACAACTGTACGGAAATATCATTTCCTTACAGTAAGGAAATGACATTTCCTTACAGTAAGGAAGTCCTGACTTTTTCTTCAAGAAATTTTGACAGGAATGTCAAAATTTCCTGGCGATTTACGGAAAAATATTTTTCTTTCTTAAAAAAATATAATTTGTAATTACAGCCAATTCTGGCTAAATTCCATAAAACTCTACCTATATCAAACATGCCACAAATAAATAGCTTCAGAACTTATCCTTTTTTAAATTATGTTAATAAAATAAAACTTGTTCGCTCTTACTATTATTCTAAAATGTTTTTAAACTTTATAGCCAGTTTTCCAGAAAAGTGTTTTTGCAATTCTCCTTTACGCTTTAAAGCTCCTGAAGTATTTTCAGTTAAGTTTATGTCCTATACCTTGCGCTCCCGCCAAACTTTAGAATCGACGAAGTTTAGATTTATTTATTTATTTATCGTATGGCACTTGACACATTTACATTTAAATTTACATATATTTTGTATAAAACATTACACGTATGTTTACGAATAAACATCTAATTTATTTATATATTCTATCGATTCTGGAGTCGCCATTAGGAGATCCTCTGACCTGCCTTGATAGGATCTTGTGGGACACTGTTCTGTAATGTGGCAGATGGTTTGTGGTTGTCCGCAGTCACAGAGTTGGCAGCATCTATATCTTGATGCTGCCAACTGTACTTGTGATTTTGGTGATTTTGGTACTCACTAGTGTGGGAGTGTATACGCCGCAGTCTAGGTGGTGGAATGTGACTCAGAACTGGGATCCATTGCGTAGGGGTGGATTTGATAACACCAGCAATCATTCTCATTGTATTGGTCAATTAGGCATCTACTTTGTGTATATGTGGGCTGTTAAGCCACGCTAAAGAGCAGTATTTCGAGGTTGAGAAGACAAGGCCCAGGGCAGATGATCGCAAGGTGGAAGCCGATTCTCCCCATGTTGTGCCGCACAGCTTCTGGATGTTGTTTCTTGATTTAAGTTTTCCCGCTATTTTTGACAGATGTTCCTTGAAAGATACGGTTCTATTAAAAGTCCCCTCAAGGTACTTTGGTGTTTTATTGTAGGCCAGTGTCGTGTTTTCGGATGGGACGTTCAGTGTTCTTCCTGCAAGCTTGTTATTTAGATGAAAACTGGAAATCTCTTAGCGTTTGGTTGGAGCTTCCATTTACGGAAATACTTTCCCATTGTGTGTAAGTCTGCCGTAAGGATTTCTTCTGTTTGGTTCACATGACTACTTGCATCGTTCGGTCGGCTAGCATGCTGTTGATTATTTGAGCGGTGGATTTACAGGAGATTATCCGGAGGAGCTTGTATAGTATGCCTTCTCTCCAGACTGTATCGTAAACCGCTGTTAGGTCTAAGAATGCGGCTAATACATGTGGTAAGTGAAAGAACCTGATCTGCGCAGCTTCTTTTCGGTCGGAAACCTGTCTGATCAACCGGTATCGATTCAAGTAGCTTTGGACTAATACTGTTATAGATAAGTCGTTCGAGTAGCTTTAACGTTGCCGATAGTAGGGCTATTGGTCTGTAGTTCTTAGAGTTGCTATCATTTGGTTTACCTGGTTTTACTATGGCAATGATCTTCGAACATTTGAGTTCCTGTGGTATGGTACCGGTCTTCATAATATCTGTGAAAAATTGGGCCATCCATTCCCTCGCATATTTACCGCTGTTAATTAGGAATTCGGGATGAATATTGTCAAAACCTGGGGCTTTACCTGGCTTTACATCGTTGAGAGCTATAGTAACTTTCTTCGCAAGTGAAAGGGCGAGATTACTCGGTTTCTACAGATTGGAATTTTAAAGTTTTGAGCTCTCGTTTTACCTTAATTATGTGTGGCTTGTTTTTCGGGGCCCTAGATGTCGATACCGGATGTGAGGCAATAGCGTTTGGGTTAATTGTTGTTTTGGTCCTTGTTATGGGAGTTCCGCTTCCTAATTGTCTTAGTAGTGTCCATGCTTGTCTACTTGATGTTTGAACATTAAGACTTTCTACAGTTTCCGTCCATTGTTGTTCTGTTATATAATAATAATAGTTCACTGCTAATAGTGCAAAAGATATATAATTTTATTTGAGAAATTAAATAAAAAAATGGGTTTATTTTAAAACATTCATAGTTAAATATACTTTATTGCGTATTCTGTATGCAGACAGTAATTTTAAATACTAATTCGTAGAATAACGTTTAGTTAAATATTTTAAAATGTAACATCTAAAATACAAAAAAAACCGTTGTCAATACTTATTTATTTACCTCTGTTCCGTAGATAAGCCTTCTTTCATTAGGATTTAACGATAACAGAATGTCTCCCACGTATGTATAATACTCTCCCATTTCTGCTCGTTTTTCTAATAGTTCTAAAATATCTCGTTCGGTAATTGGATGTAATGCTGCCAGATCTTCTTCGTACATCGGTTCCAAGTCAACGTCTATATCTTTCTTCAAGAATTTTCCGTGAACAACAACATCTGGAGTTTTCGGTTTAAGTTTGATTGACCTTACATCGGATATTAAAGATTTTAACTCCATTGTTAACTATAATGAAAAACATAAGGTTAGTTACATGTAATACAATAATATACAACACTAATGTTATTAAAATTTAAAAACTAAACAGAAGCAGAGTTTTTTAATGTAAAAATTTGGAGGTGCTTATAAAATCAGTCGACCACTATGAGAGTAGTAATTGGTTGTCCTCAAGGAGTCTTATCACCTCTACTGTGATTGATGGTGGTTGATAATCTTAAAGTATAAACGAGAAATTTTTCGTACTGTGGACTATACTTTCGATCCAGCTATAATATTTAAAGGTAATCATGATAATACTGTTGCTGATCACCTACAAGGTATCTTAAATCTAGTAAAGATTTGGTTTTTGGAAGTCATCATCTACTGGAAGTGGAAGGCACTCTATCATTCTTAGATGAGATTAGGTATCTCGAAACTGTCCTAGGAAATCCATAGGAAATTTACGGGAAATGCTCAGTTAGAACATATTGCCACTAAAGCAACGAAAGCTCTTGGGACGTGTAGTAGGCTTTGTGACAAAACATGAGGTCTAAAATCTAAAATGATATATTTGTCTTATATAACGATTGTCAGACCAACAGTTAGTTAGACTATTCCGGTTTGGTGAATAAAGAACAAACGCAATAAGAAAGTTACAAAAAATGCAAGAACTCATTATCTACGTTAACACAAATCGAAATCTTCTTTTGTGAGGCACACCTCTTGTGTGATGAGCCAAATATATAAGAGTCTTTTATACTGATGAGCCAAATACATAATAGGGAGTAGAAATAGGGGTTACTGGTGCTAATAACAGGCTGTCAATAACTTTTAGAAATGCTTATACTCTATTTTAAGTAGAACTGCTATCAATCGATTTTTGTATTTAAGAATTCCTGAAAAAACGACTTAAGTCAGCTAAAATATTTATTGTCTCAAACAGTCAAGAATAAGATGCTAAATTCTACAATTATAAGTCGATAACAGCTTGAAACTTGTAAGCTGAAACTGACTGTCATACCATACTTTCATTCGTTACATTCAAGGCCCTAACTAACTTAAAGTGAATAGTTAGAACAAACTAAGGATTACATAATATACGGATAGTTTTGACGATAAGGTGCTTTTCATAGCGACTTTATTACAACACAAAACAGGCAAAACGGCTAGGAGTTAAATGTATATCATAAAAAAAGTCAGAGGGAACAAAGCTAGATTTATACATTCATATTACGCATTCTATCCTAAATTTTTCTTCTAGTCCTTTTTAAGTACTCCCAAAAAATTTGCTTAAGCCTAATATTATGACGAGAAATATATAAGATAGAAGATTGACACTAAAGAAGAGGTATTTGTTTTTTTATCAGATTTTCCAATAGATACTGAATAGCAGCATTATTATATATGCACCCGAACATCCAATGATTAATATCGTCAGTGTTACCATTATAATTGCTTTGGTGTTACCCGAGATACCAGTATGTCCCTTTAGCCAAATGAAAAAGACTGAATCATTTCTTTTAAGTAGTTTTAGTTTATTTTTTAAAATTTTTACGATAATACTGTTTTTGTTTAAATGTTTATGCGAATTATCAACGCAGATTTTGAATCCAACAGGATTACTATTTATTGATCAGACATTTATTTCTCAATAGTCCCTTCCAGAGCTTGATATATTGCAAACAGTTCTGCGGAGTAAAGGTATAATTGAAATAAAATGTTTTCTTTATTGTTTTGGATATATACCTCACAATCAACTCCCAAAATGAATTTTTACGCATCTGTGAAAATCCTATATGGCTTATCAAATTTGGCAAGTTGTTTTTGAAGTTGAATTGCGTTGTTATTATTACAAGTAGGAAATAAACTTTGGTTTGGGAATAAAGAATATTAAAATTAGATTTGAAGAAATTAGTTTCAACTAATTTTTTCTGAATATGAAGAAACATTGGGAAATGCTATAGCTACAGTTGGAGAATTTTTGTTATGCCACCATTTGTCAACTAAGTTAAACACAGATATGTCGGATATTTTTTGCAATAGGTAGGTTTTGTTACTACCTTGACATTTAAGGATAAACTTCTGAGCTAAAAAGACGTCTTAAATGTAATGGAGGTTCCATACGTTCAGCTAATAGATTTTCAGTGGGTGTAGATTTACATTGACCCAAAGGGCACTTACAAGTGTACCTAAAACCAAACGTAGAGCTTTGTACTGGATTCGTCTATTTTTTAGATATAGTCATAGTCAAAAATTGACCTGATATATGCCCTATAAAACATTAGATTAATCTTAGGATCAGCGCCCCATTGGTGATGGTTAACTACGTTTAAAACATTTAGGTTTTGTTTCGCATTTAATTAAACAGTTAATAATATGTTCTTCCCATGTTAATTTAGTACCAAGTGTGACGCTGAGACAAGTACAGTATTTTTGGACAGGTATACTTAGATTATCAATTCTAATACTAGATATATTCGGTAAGCGATGACTAGTAAACAACACCACAGCAGATTTATTCGAAGTTAGTCCCAAGTTTTATCGAATCAATACATATCTGATAAAAAATTTTAGAAGTGCAAGTGCTAAGCACAGATACCTGCAGCAAACCTTGATAAACTAACCTTGCAGCAATCAATTTATAATTGTACCGAATAAATACTTGTCTATTAACAAATAGATTAACCAATACCTATGCATATCTAGTTGGGACTTTTATATGTGGCAGTTTCTTGAAAAGTAAGTTTACAAGAATATTATAATATAGTTAAATATCGATAGCATTAAAGTAAACTGTATACCCAAGCTTAATCAAGCCATTCAGAGCGATGCTGAGAATATTAAAATTCCACTATGCATCAACAATATACCCATATAAATTACTATCATTTTTGTACTCATTGCGTCAAGTACTTCTGAAATATCTAGAAAAAGTGCTGCTAAATAATTATTATTTGAGTAGGACAATTGGATATCAGTATTTAATTATGACAAATAGTCGATGGTTCCTTTATTTTTCCAAAAGCCTAACTGAGCTACCAGAAATATGCCTTCTTTTTCACACCACCATTCCAATCTCATTTTCAGGATCCGTTCAAGTATTTTTAGTAGACATGACATCAGAGAAATAGGTCTTAAAGAAGTACGATCGTTTATTTTACGTATAGGAATGACCAGACATTGCTTAAGAGAATCACAATTATCTCCTTTTACTAAAATGTTAAATATCTTGCATAGATAATCTATAGCAATTTTGAAAAGATTTGTTAACATGGGTAGTTTATACCGTCCATACCTGGAGATGTATTTTTTTTAATTTTAATGTTTTTTGTAAATAAATGAAATGGTATATCTCGCAAACATAAAAACAAAAAACAAAATAGGTAAATTGATGGAAGGCAACTGTAAATATTTAGTAAAGTTGTAGTATAATGTAAATGTAGTATAAGTTTCATATAACTTACGTGGTAATTATTTTCAGGAATTTCTTCTAAAAATGGATGTTCAATTATTTCCATCATACACGGTCTGTATTCGAAATCTTTAACAAGACACCTAAAACATACGTACGATTTATGCTCAGTCTCACATTGATACAAGAGAGTTATGTATAAGTCCAAATTGATTTGATTGTATGCAACATACTAAACTGATTATAACTCAATAAAGTAGAACTCAAAAGACTGTTCAAAATATACTAGACGAAACGAAATTGCAAGAAACCCAATCAGAAACAAATGCCAAATCTTTTCTAATATTAAACTTTCGTTACCCACTCCATTTGAAATATGAGTCATAGATTGTAGAATTCTACAGATTGTAAGATAAGATTTTATATTATATATATACATAAATATAAATATATATTTCAATGTTCCTATTAGGATTCTAACAATATGACAGAAGAAACAGAATAGTGAGAATAGCATTATATCAGGTCATCAATCGGAAGAAGTACATATATACTAGAAGGAAATGAAAAGTTGATGAAAATAGGAAAATTACCTAAATGAAAACAAAAGAAACATTTATGATATGGAATAAATCATTTTTAATAGGTGTAACGTTTGAACACTCTTACTCGCCAATGAAGTCGTGAAAATTTTCTGTCCACGTTGATACTTTTCTTAATGTTGGAGGTGGATTTGCAACAATTTGGAATAATGCTCTTGACGGATTCATTCCTTCGTAAGGAGCTTTACCTTCTGCTAATTCTATTGCCGTTATTCCTAATGACCATACATCAACCTAAAAGTTAAATCTGAACATTAATATAAATATAAAAATAATTGATACATTGATATTAGGAAATATTGCAAGTTCTATATCAGTTTTTTATGTTGTCTAGTGAAAGTGTGGTTAAGCGTCTACCCATACTAAACCTAAGCTAACCTAAGCTTAAGTCTGTTAATATATGATACGCCAAATTGTTTTTTTTATTCGGATTTGATTTTTCATAGAGATATTTAACATGGATTTACTAAGTCTATGTGGAATATGTTTGGCATATAATAAATGCATCTATCATTTGTCGTTTATTAAGAATATAGTCACATATACATACGCACTTTTAAGAATACAACTGCAAGTAGATAGTACTCCAATCGATTAAGTAAAAACATTTAAATACTTGGGAATGACGATGAATGACCAATGGGATCCTCAACAGGAAATAAAATGCCGTACCGAATAAGCAAGACAAGCTTTTATCAAATTTAAACCGCTACAATGTAACCGCAATCTTTCCTTCTATCTCCGCTACAGGATGATTAAATTATATGTATGGTCCATCTTGTTGTACGGCATGGAAACATGGACGTTAAGAGTACCTTCCAGTAATAAGGAGGCATTCGAAATGTGGACATTGCGAAGAATGTTCCGCATACCATGGACAGATAGGGTGAGAAATGATGAAGTCTTAAGAAAGGAAAATAGAGGAAAAAATATGCAATCCCTCAACTAATCATCCAGGAAAATATTGAAGGCAAGAGATGAGTAGGTCGCAAACAAATGTCGGAGCTAGGAAACATAAAAAATTGGACAGGCATAAATAACGTTGGCGATCTTTTGCATGCCGCAAAAGACATACGTCTGTAAGTATTGTATTACGAAAACAGTAATCGATAAGAACATTTATAATCTAAATCACGTCTGACAAAAAAGTTGTAAAAACAAAAAACAAGAAAGCGAAACTTACTCTGTCATTGTATCCAGAAATTTTCTTGGTCCCCACGCTGACTACTTCCGGCGCCATCCAGCTAGGAGAACCAAGAATGACTGAAAGCATTTCATCCATCTGGTTTCGAATTCTAGAAAGGCCGAAGTCACAAATTTTTACTTCTCCTTCCTTTGTCAAAAGTATATTACTACCCTTCAAATCTCTATGGACTATTTTGTTTTCATGTAGATATATAAGACCCTAAAATAATAAAATTATAATTTTTTTTGTGATAATCTTAATTTAAATTGAAGTTTGTAATCTAATGTACCAAATTATTTTATTTAAAGTGTTAATTTTTCTTGAAAAGTGGCGGTATCTATTAAATAAATAAAAAAAAATAACTCTCCCACGTCCTTTCTTCGTAATTTAATGAATTGTTACTGAGTACTTACTCTAACAGTCTCCTTGATGACATAAGCAATATGTTCTTCGACCATTCTTCGGTTTTTTGCAAATAAACGGTTCACCAAGTCAATAACAGAGCCTCCTTCGCACGGCTGCAACACAAAGTATAATTCATAAGCGTAAATCAATCTCAGAAGTCTTTTTGTTGGCTTACCACACGCTAATTAAAGAAAAGTTTATTCTTACCAATGATGCATATTAACTTGTTGAAAATTCATTATGTTCTGACAGAAAAAATGCGGTTTATGGTTGGTTGGAACTCGGTTTATTAGACAGAAATGACAGTTGTACAGTTCTTAAATAATGCAAGTTAACTTTTTATTAAAATATGGGCGGTAAAGGCGGTTTAAATAACGACTTTTTTAATTTAAGACAGATCAGTCTGAAGAACTTTTGACGTATTTTTTAACATTATTTTTTAATGTGCATTGTTCTACGATAAAATATTATAATAATAAAAGAAATAGGTTTTTTAATAAACCTTAAATAATTAATAATTAATTATAGTAAATACCAATATAACTTTTATTTCTATTCTACTTCTATTTATTTTAACCATTCGGTTAAAATGGGGACCTCATTAAAAACAATGGTTTTTTTTTATTTTTATTTTTTTTATCTTTTTTAACATTTTAATTACAATAGCACACATTTTAAGTTTATGACAAATACTTATTACACTTTTGAGAGGATAAAACATAGACACAAAACAATTTTAAATTAATTTTTTGTGAGTTTTTAAGTGTTACGTCTACAAAATCGCACAGGAAATAGTCGTCTTCTTCATCTGCATTTGTACATGTGTCGTGGGGCCAACCAGAGCATCTTGAGCACTGTATGCACCCTTCTTTGTCCTTAGAAGCAGAGAAAATCTCACTGCAAAATATACAAGCCTTATCACTGCTCCCTTCTTCAGATGAGAAAGACTCGTTCTGGTTTTCGAATTTCATTTTCTTTAATGTGGGACCAACATCAGTTTTTGGAAGGTTTTCTTTATCGCTACTGTTGCCAACTTTCTTCAGTTTTGTTTTATTTAGCATTTTAGACGTTTTAAACAATTTCTTTTTAGGTTCTTTTTTCATTTTTATTTTTATTTCTTCATCTTCTAGCTCTTTCTTGTAAGGTGAAGACGTCAAAACAAACTGCGGTTTTGATCGATGCTTCGAAATTCGATGCTTTTTGAGTGCGCTCTGTGTCCATCCAACAGAAGTAAGACTGGCTTGTCTGGTTTTGGGTTTGAAAACTTAACAAATTGCTTGAACCAAACTAAAAAGCTTTCTGTTGTAATCCACCCTGTTTCATGGTAGAAAGCAAAGGATCCTGCTGGAGCATCGTTCATTAATGCAGGATTTTCTCTTTTTCGTGGAAATATAAACATCGTGGGCATATAGTTTCCAGCAGCACTCATACAGGTCTCGGCTGTCACTAGTGTTCCACTTTCAGATAAAGCTAAAGCACCTACTTGTTTCTTCCCCTCAGCGCTACAATTTTTGATGCCTTATTAGGAACCGTCGTGATTCCGGTTTCGTCAACATTATAGATATTATTAGGGGAAATGTTATATTTCTTTAATATATCTTCTAACAGGTCGAAAAAATTATTAACTGCATCTCGATTAAATCCCTTAGCTCGCGCCAAGGAAGTTTACTCCGAAAAGCGTAGCGAAAGTCATGGATTCCTTTTTAGAAATGCATACAAAACCTTTCGGTGCCTCATTTGCCAATCAAAACAGCTTTCACAGCGAATTTCATGCTCTCTTCATTCCAGCTTTGTCTATTCGTCGTTATTTTGTACCGGCCCATTGTCAGATCTGAAAAAAACCACATAACTTAATCTTTATCTTTAACACATAATAATATGAGTCAGTAAATATATAAAAATCATAATCATAAATTAGACACGGTTAAAATTCAACAAAAACAAAATTATTTGATATTAATGCCTATAGAAAGTTTTATAGACATAGGATATCTTTGCATACTATTATACATTGAAGTAAAACTATTTAATAATCAACACATTTTATAGTCAAGCGTCGGGTAAAACGGGGACGTCACCGTTTTGGACAACTTCAAATGTCCCCGTTTTGTCCGACAGTGCTACATTGTAAAAACATGGCGTTTACCGCACTCCTCGTGAGACTACCAAGCGACATAAATGTGAAATTGAAAGCTTAAAATCTAACAAATTCAAAGAAGTACTTACCGAGTTAACTCCTGCCTGTATTAACCGCATCTAGAACCCACAAAACACAAGAAAATAGTTAAAAAAATTTAAAAAAACTTCCGAATACTTGCTGAACCAAGCAGAGGTCACTAACTATTCGAAAACCAACTTGTAATGGCAATATGAACTACCAACTGAACTACCAACATGAAGTACCAACTTTAGTCACTCTTTGTAGCGTCACTTGACAGAAGTGGCCTGACCCCGTTTGATCCGACGTCCCCGTTTTGGACAACTCTCCCCTACTTTTATTTTTTACGAAATTCAGTTTAAATAGAAACTTTCAATGTAAAAATAATAATAGAAATAAAATTTAGTTTAAATAGAACTTTCAACGTAGATATAAAAATATTTGTTTACATTTTTTCTTTTCTTTTCTTTTTCATTTCATGTTAGACATTTGTTGCTTATTCTGACATAAGAAATCGATTCCAAAAACAGTGAGAATAGCAAAATGCAAAAAAATCAAAGGGAAAATTTTTTTGTTCTTAAAAACAACATAGATTGAAATTCTGATTTATGATATACCCGAAAGCAAAAACAAACTCTCTTCGATATAAGGCTGAGCAGAATTTTAAGGCCAACATAATTCCAGGTTGGAAAAATCGGGATTCGGTCTTATCATTTTAGAAGCGTAACAAGTAAGAATATAAAAATATGCTTAAAAGCCTAATAGCGCAAATTGCCTTTAGTCTAACAAGTGGAAAGGTTCAAAAAATGGGCAAAGGATATAAATAGTTACATAATCAGGTAATAAATTATTAAAGTTATATATTAAAATTAAAGATCTATTAATAAACGGACCTTATACAAAATTAACAAAAGATCCAACAAAGCCTTTGGAAAACAAAATATATAGAACTTTATTCAAGTTTAAAGATGTTTTAACAAGTTAACAGAGAGGATTAATTACACCTCATTACAGTAAGACTCCTCATTTTTATGGAGTACCGAAAATTCATAAAACGAATATACCACTTAGACCCATTTGTAGTACCATGAATTCTCCTTGTAGTGAACTATCAAAATTTTTATTAAATATTTTAAAACTTTATACAAATAAAAATGACACATTCATAAAAAATACACAACATTTTTTAAATAAATTATCAAATATTGAATTTAATTCAAATAATACTTTGGTAAGTTTTGACATAAATAGTTTATTTACGAATGTGCCATTAAATAAGACTTTAAGTATAGTCAAGACAAAATTAGAGAGTGATGATTCATTGGTAACTAGAACAAGACTAAACATATCGGCTATAATGGAGTTATTAACATTATGTACTGATAATACATATTTTCAACTAAATAATGCATTCTATAAACAAAATTTTGGTCTAGCAATGGGCTCTAGTTTATCTCCATTCTTAGCCGATATATTTATGGAAGATTTTGAAACAAATATCATCTCTAAACAAAATTTCAAACCCACAGTATGGTGGAGGTATGTAGATGATGTATTCTCAATATGGCCTCATGGATCAGAGTTGTTGGACACATTCCTAAACGATAAAGAAGAGACAATAACATTTACCATGGAAAAGGAATATAACAACACGCTACCTTTCCTGGATGTTTTAATCTCTAAGAACAATACTGGATATGAGACTCAGGTGTATAGAAAAACAACACACACCAATAGATATTTAAATTTCAAATCAAATCACAATATTAATGTAAAAAAGGGAATAATTAAATCCTTATACGATAGAGCCAAAATTACTTGTTCTAACGAAAATTCGTTCTTGGAGGAGAAACATTTGTTAACATCTGTTTTATTAAAAAATGATTATCCTTTATCGTTTATAAATAAGGAATTTTCAACAATCGATCGAATAGAACAGAACAACTTAGAACGAGATCCTACAGCATACACAAGGAATAATATGAGGAAAATAACAATAACGTACATAAAAGGATTATCAGGAACACTTAAAAGGATAGGAAATAAATTCAACATTTCAACAACATTCAAAACAACAAACACGTTGAGATCTATTTTGTAAAAAACCAAACCTAACAATGAACAAGAAAGGACAAAGAATTGCATTTATAAAATACCTTGTGAATGCGATCAGTTTTATTTAGGTGAATCATCAAGGCCATTAAATGTTAGAATAAGTGAACATCAATCTTATATTAAAAATAGAGAATTTGATAGATCTCAAATATGTAAACACGCATGGGATAATGAACATAGGGTTCAATGGAATAATTCAAATATAGTCCTAAAAGAAACGGATGGTAAAAAGAGAAAAATCAAAGAAGCGGCTCTAATTATGCTAAACGAGGCCAATTGTGTCGCAAATTCCTCGGCAGAATGTAGTAGGATCTGGTTACCAATATTGAAAGAGGAAGTTATTAATAAGAAAATACCAGTATTAGTAAGTCAGTAACATATAGAGTCAGTAACATCATTTATGTTTTTTAAATAACGTAACATATAAAATCAGAATTTTGATGTTTGTTGAAGGTAAACTAAATTCAGGAACAAATACTTACAATGTCGGGATAGTATTATGAGGTTTTTTTCCTGGGTTTTCTCTCATAATTTACTATGGAATCACTAACAGGAGAATTTTTACTGTCATCATGTCATGTGTTTGTCTTTTTAAAGACGAATTACATGCTATGATTTTTTCTGACGGATATTCTCAAGTTAAAGTTGATTTCATGTAATCGAATGAACTATCTTATAAGTAAAGTCGTCCCAGGAGCGCAACTCAACAATATTGGCAATATCATTTTAAAGTCGTCTACTTTAAAATGCATAATGTATGTATGTCTGAATTGTCAATATAAATGAGTCAGATAAAATTAAATTATTAGAAGAATTTTTTCACTATGTAACAAAAAACAAAATTTGTTTAATTTTCTGTTTGTATTTTGAGAACGATTTCCGAATTGGAAATTGAAACGTCAATAAACGTATTTTTATCTTTAATTGTGGCTTATTCTCAGTCATAAATAGTAATTAATAATCAGGCTTATACTGTAATGGGCTATGTAATAATGGCGTTACTGATCATGGCCCTTGGAGGCCGAGATCCGGCAGCGGAGAAAAAGACCAGGACTCTTAGGTCATTAATCAGCGAATTCCTTGTCAAAAGAACGTAAATGTGAAAATAAGACTGTCCAACACAAGAATAGGAACCTGGAATGTTCAGAGCATGTTTCAGTCTGGTAAAATGCACAATGTTATTCAAGAAATGAACAGGTTAAATATCGATGTACTGGGTATCTGGCCCAACTCCGGTTGTTTTTAAACAGACGAATTCACAATATATTATTCCGGTAGCGTATACGACAGGGATGTATATTTTCCACATTATTGTTCAATATACATATTTAGAGCACATTATGAACCTACCGCTAACGGACGTAGACTAGGGAATACTTATAAACGGAGAACGATTGAACAACTAAGGTAGACAGTCTTGAAGGTCTGCAGACACTTGTCCCCATTGTGGCAGAAGTAAGTAGCAGGTTTGGGCTTGATTTTAACATCAAAAAAACCAAATACATGGTTATAAGCAAAAATAGGATACCACCTGGTCAATTACTAGTTATCCAACAACCTGTAACAGAAATCACCAACTTTTGTTATCTGGGTGCAAACTTAAATGAACAATGGGACCAATCGACGGAAATTAAGATAAAGATCGAGAAGGCAAGATCAGCTTTCATCAAAATGAAAAAAACAGCCACGACATAAAATTGGAAATAAAAGTTCATTTACTAAAATGCTACGTATTTTCCGTTTTTTTAGGATTAGGATATGTTGAGGATTTCCTGGATAGACAGAATTACCAACGAAGAAGTACTACATAGAATGGGTAAAAAGCGCGAACTAGTCGTAACCATAAAACGACGCAAACTAGAATATCTGGTCCATTTAATGCGCAATGAACAACGATATGACATACTTCGGACCATACTTCAAGGTAAAGTGCATGAGAAAAAAGGTCCAGGACGGAGAAGAATATCCTGGTTGCATAACCTGCGAAAATGGTTTAACTTAACCACTACCGGACTTTTTAGGGCAGCAGTCAACAAAGTCAGAATAGCCATGTTAGTGTCCAACATCCGTAACGGATAGGCACCATAAGAAGAAGGTAGCGAGAATAACCAACACAGATACGGTGTGGCAGTAATAGTTAATAAAAAATCTAATAGAGTGGTGGAATGCTACTTCGCTATCTCAGAAAGGGTAATGGTATTGAAGTTGGTGACATCTCATGCCAAACTGAATTTAATACAAGTTTATGCTCCTACGGTGAATTCCGATAAAGACGAAGTGGAATTATTTTACCAAGATATTGAAGAGACACTGAGAATAACGAAAACTAGAGAAATCACGATGGTCCTAGGTGTTCTCAATGCAAAGATTGGAAAGGGACAAAGCAGAAAGTATATAGGAAACTATGGTCTGGGAAAGCGAAACGAGAGAGGAGACCGTCTGTTACAATTTTGTCAAGAGCAGACCTTGATTATTAAAAACACATTTTTCAAGTTACCAAACAGACAACTATATAGGAATCGCCCGCAGATACTCGGAGAAAGTAGTCAGGAACCAGATAGAACCAGATATTTTTTAAAATCGAATCTAAAGTTTTTGCTACTTGTAAATCATTTGAATTTGAAAAATACTAATTAAATAAAGCCAATATGGCAATGGTTGACACATGGTAATTTTTCCTGCTTTATTATTAGTTCCGTCAGCATCAAAGTAAGCGTAAAAGTACAACTTTGAATAGAACACACGTAAATGTTAAGTGATAGAATAGGATATTATTGTCATATTTAAATAAAGCTACCTAGTGTGGGCTGGATATGTAGTATAGACATAAGAATCGAGCATAATAAAAAGAACCATTACCGCACAACTGAACATATGGTGAGTGAAAACGTTTCGAGGAGACCGTCTGTTACAATTTTGTCAAGAGCAGACCTTGATTATTAAAAACACATTTTTCAAGTTACCAAACAGACAACTATATAGGAATCGCCCGCAGATACTCGGAGAAAGTAGTCAGGAACCAGATAGAACCAGATATTTTTTAAAATCGAATCTAAAGTTTTTGCTACTTGTAAATCATTTGAATTTGAAAAATACTAATTAAATAAAGCCAATATGGCAATGGTTGACACATGGTAATTTTTTCCTGCTTTATTATTAGTTCCGTCAGCATCAAAGTAAGCGTAAAAGTACAACTTTGAATAGAACACACGTAAATGTTAAGTGATAGAATAGGATATTATTGTCATATTTAAATAAAGCTACCTAGTGTGGGCTGGATATGTAGTACAGACATAAGAATCGAGCATAATAAAAAGAACCATTACCGCACAACTGAACATATGGTGAGTGAAAACGTTTCGAGAGGGGTTAGACAGGGCTGTATTCTTTCGCCACTGCTTTTCAACCTGTACACGGAACAAATATTTCTAGAGGCACTGGAAGAGTACAACGACGGCATCAAGATTAATGCCGTACCAATAAGTAATTTTCGATATGCCGATGATACTGTTATACTGGCCGATAACATCGAAGATTTACAGATGATGCTAAATAGAGTAAATATAACTGGCAACCGATTTGGACTGAAGATCGATAGAAAGAAAACTAAATTTATGGTGATCAGTAAAAAGAACATTCAATATATCGACCTGAATATTGAAGCCGAACGTATTGAAAGAGTACACTGATTAATATATCTGGGATATATAGTAAATGATAAGTGGGACCCAGACGTAGAGATCTAGATACGAATTGAAATAGCAAGATCCAAATTCATCAAAATGAGAAAGCTCTTAAGCAACCGCAACCTAAGGGTTAACCTTCGATGGCGTTACGAAATCTTACGTACTTTCTACGCTATTTTATGGAGTAGAAGGGTGGACGTTAACAGCAGCAACTATAAAGTAGTTAGCGGCTTCAAAAATGTGGCTGTATCAACGCATACTGAGAATAGCTTGGACAGACAGAATGACCAACACAGAGGTATTAAGACGAATGGGTAAAGAGGTGGAATTGTACACAATTGTTAAAAGGAGGAAAGCGTCATACCTGGGCCATGTATTCCGTAATGATAGGTACAGTCTGCTACATCTTATCGTGGAAGGCGAGATTGAAGGTAGAAGAGGTTTGGGCAGAAAGAAGAAATTCTGGCTGAGAAACTTAAGAGAATGGTTTCAAATACCAGAAGCTGCGAACATAATACATGCGGCACAAAACAGATAAACCTATCGTTTGATGGTCGCCAACCTTCGGAAGAAGACGGCACATATAGATGAAGAACCACACAACTGGTGAGAATGTGAAAATGGACTAAACCAAGGCTCAGGCGGATAGTCTTTTTGATGTAAGATGCTAAGAAAATGGTTGCTCCCAACTGGAGAACTCAAGCATAGAATATATTATTATAATGATAAAAGCTTAAATTAGGAAAATATTGTTACTGGGTATAGTTTGATATTTACACTTATTGCAATAATGTGTCTTTGTAAAAAATTTAAAAAGACAAGTACCGTAAAACAGACGGATTCTACAAGTATCAATAAAAATACTGTTTTCTTACCTCCAATACAAACCATATCTCGTTGCTTTTCTTAAATATCCCATAAAAATCAACAATGTTTATATGGCTACTAAAATCTTTCAGTATTTTGTATTCTTCTTCAACAAATTCTTTACATCCGGTTTCATACTTCTGACATTTAATAGCAACTTTCTTCTTACTGGCTTGAATGTCAGTAGCTATATAAATTTTTCCATATACACCATATCCTACAATGTCACTAATTTCGTACCGGTCGCTAGGAGCGGGTATGTCGCTGAAGTCGACTTTCATTTTCTTGAAGCGGAATTTTAACACGACTTACAAATATACCTGAAAATGTTAAGAAAACCTATTATATCTAGAAATAAAAATTTTATATTAATTATATTATTTGTAACTTGAATTTTAAAGATTATTTTTTATCATGCTGTTATAAGTCAGTTTAGCGGTCACCATTACCATGCCATATCCGTTTATCCATCTGATACGCTAAAAACCCGATTTAATTATATATTTGGTCATACATATTTCAGCTAACATAACTGATGAATTAAAATCTAGATTGCTTAAATATTCCTAAATCTTTCACATTCTAAAAATTAGTAACACATTATAGTCCGACAAACGAGAGCTGGCGGGTGAGCTGCGCGAAAATAGAAAAGGAATTATTCTAATAGAGATAGGAGAGGTACTTAATCGCAATTATAGGTATATAGTATAGGTACTTAAACGGTTACACACGATGTGAACTCCTAGCCGACTGCAATAGAAATGAGCAATTCCTTCCACTTTTCAATTTGTTCTACGCGCGACCCGCCAGCTCTCGCTTGTCGGCTTATACACATTAGCAAATGTCTTATTTTATTGAACGCTTGTTGAGATTACTACGATTATTACTGCATATTACCACGATTAGAAAGAAGCTTAATCTGTGTAAATGACTTCAGATGCAGTTTATCTTATTTTGATTTAAATTGCAAAATTACTTAATTAATGTCCCCTGTCTGTTTTTTGTTCTGGTTGACAAGATAACCTGTGCTCGAAAATGTATCACTTACAAAAAGATTATATTAATAATTATGAGTCAATAATCATGAAATCGTGCTAAGAAGATATTACTCATAAACATCAATAACCGATAGAAGATTTAATTCGCCAAATTTAATAATCCTGAAGTTATATTATATTAGTCTTCTTAAAGTACTGGAGAGTATTAAGAAATGCCTTTACGGTCTTGAGTTCAATGAAGGGAAACTCCCAATCTGCACCTCTACGTGGTAGAAGATGGGCAACACTTAAGTAGTTAGCTTAAGTGGCTGACGCAGATGGGGACCGAGTGTTTGCCGGTATAAGCATTCAATGTTATTCTTAATAATAACGCAAGGGCACCCTCTTGTCCTGGGGAGGAGAAATCGTCCCCGAAGGCGGATGAACGATATCGCGTTGTCAACGGCATAGGATGCGAAAGGCAAGTGGGAAACCATCGCATCAAATTCCCAAGGTAGTTAATATGACAAGTCAAAATCAATACATGGCCCCTAGTGCCCGGCAGGCGTTCAATCTTCAAGGGGTGCTAAGAGTCCCCAGGAGGAAACTTAAAATTGCTACGTGGAATGTTAAGACATTGTATAGAGCAGGCAAATTAGCAAACGCTGAAAACGAGATGAGACGAATGAAGTGGGACATACTTGGTATGTGTTAGGTGAGATGGAAAGGAGAAGGATATGTGGATACAATAAATGGAAACCGATTCTATTATGCAGGCAAAGATGATGATGCCCAATCAGATATATGAGTGCTGGTAACAGTATCCATGAAACAACATACGAAGGGTTTTCTACCAGTCAGCGACAGAGTAATGATCATCAAATTAAATGGACAACCATTCGACATTAATATAATACAGGTATACGCCCCGACAGCAGACAGCACAGATGCAGATATTGAGATTTTCTACTCCGATATTGAAAAGTTTAAAAAACACATAAAATCAGATGACATCAACATATTTATGGAAGGTTGGAATGCGAAGATAGGGGCAGAAAAGTTCGAATCAATCATCGGACCATACGGTTTAGGAACGAGGAATGAACGAGGCACACGCTTTGTTGAATTTTGCCAAGAGAACAACTTGGTGGTTCTTAACACATGGTTTAAATTACCAAAAAGACGTCTGTATACGTGGAGGTCTCCTCAAGATTGCGAAGGAAATATTGTGAGGAACCAAATCGAGTACATTACAATTAATAAAAGGTTCCGTAATGGTATTCTAAATGTAAAAACGTACCCAAGCTGTGACATAAATTCAGACCACAATCCTGTAGTTGCAACTGTCAGAATAAAGCTTAAAAGAGTAGGCAAGGCTAAACCCAGTCAGAGAGTAGCATGGAGTAGTGCTGACCAGGGACAAAAACATATGTATAAAGACATGGTAGACACGCAGTTAGAGTCTAAGACATTAGCTTCCACTAAAGAGAAGACAATAAAAGAAAACATTAAAGACATGTGGGGAAAAATTAAAAATACTGTCCTGGAGGCAGCAAACCAAAATATACAGAAAGAAAACCGTAAACAAAGAAAACCATGGATGACAAACGAAATATTACAAATTATGGAGAGGAGACGAATGATAAAAAACAAAAACCTAACAAGATACAAAGAGCTTAACAGGGAAATTGAGAGAAAGATAAATGTAGCTAAGGAAGAGTGGATGAAAGAAAAATGTAAAGAGGTAGAAGATCTGCAAAGGAAGCATTAAGATAGAGAATTACACAGAAAGGAGAAAGAAGTCGCTGGGATATGGAAACCCAAACATTTATTTATTGTAACAAACACGAAAAACCAAATGGAATTAGACCCTGAAAAACAGAAGGAAATATGGGAACAATATCTTAAAGATTTGTTTGGTGATCGGAGAGCAGAAGGGCCCCCACAAATAGATACCGATGGAACACTAAGTATTCTAACCGAAGAAGTTATGCGGGCAATAAAAGACGCAAAAAACAACAAGGCACCTGGCGAAGATCTAACAACAGCCGAACATTTTAAACACCTGAGTGATGATGCTGTCGGGAAATTAACCTACCTCTTTAACATTATATATGTATATGGCACTCTACCGCATGACTGGCTAACATCCACTTATGTAGCTCTTTCTAAAAAACAAAAAGCAAGGAAATGTGAAGACCATCGAACTGTATTCCTAATGAGTCATGCTGCTAAGATTTTTATGCGAGTAATTTATAACCGCATTCACAATAAGTGTGAAGAATACCTGAGTCGTTCTCAATATGGTTTTAGGAAAGGTACAGGCACCAGAGAAGCAATAATGGGATTGACACTAATGGCAGAAAGCTATCCCGAGGTTCAAAAACAGCTGTATGTGTGCTTTGTCGATTATAGAAAGGCCTTCGACCGCATTAGACACGAAAAATTGATTAAGGTGCTAAAAGAAGTAGGGCTGGACGGACACGACATAGCTATAATAAGCAATACATACTGGAACCACACAGGATGTGGTCGAACAGACAACGGAAATACCAATTATGTAAACATAGAACGAGGAGTGCATCCAGGGTGCATTCTGTCCCCTCTTCTATTTAATGTCTATGCCAAAAATATCATCAGAGCTTCTCTTGATGATCGCCCTGAAGTTGCCAGAGTCAATGGAATCATCATTAACAATGTAAGATATGCCGATGACACCGTAGTATTAGCAGAAATAGAAGACCAACTAAAAATATTGATGAACATACTATCAGAAGAAAGTCACAGACTAGGTTTGGATATTAATCTTTCCAAAACCAAAATCATGGTATTCCACAAGAACCCCCATTAAAAAATTACACCCAACATACAAATCAATGGTATCACCCTTCAGAGCTCCCAAAGCTTCATATACCTGGGCAAAGAGCTAAACAGTCAGCTAAAGCACTCAACAGAAATTAGAAGACGTATTGAAATGGCAAGATCTGGCTTCATGAACATGCATAAAATGCTCTGTAACCCCAAGCTATCAATCACAATAAGGTTAAGAACACTAAAGTGTTATGTGTGGTCTCTACTACTATATGGCTGTGAGACCTGGACATTAAAACAGTATGACGTCAACAAACTGAATTGATTCGAAATGTGGATGTACCGCCGAATGCTAAGAATAAGCTGGACCAGCAAAACTACAAATGAAGAGGTACTGGAAATAATGAACACACGACCTCATCTGGTTAATACAATCAAAATTAGAAAGACGTCATATCTAGGATACATAATGCGCCATAAGGAATTTAAGCAGCTCCAGGTAATATTAGAAGGCAAAATCGAGAGTAAAAAGGGTATAGGAAGAAAGAAGAAATCCTGGCTCCGAAACATCAGAGATTGGACTCACACAACAGGAAATGACTTAATCCATCAAGCCCAGAATAGAGAGAAATTTGCCATATTGATCGCCAACCTCAATAGAGAAGGCACTTAGGAGGAGGAGGAAGTTATATTCAAAACTTCGGAACTTAATAAAAGCTACGAATACGACTTAAGGCGGGTTGATACGATCCAAGGTTAAATTCTGCTTAGACGTTGCGCACGCAACACTTGACAGCTAATTTGATCATGTCACCTGTTTATTCAAGTATACTTGTATCAACTGGTTCTATCCAAGTTAAGTAGGACGCTGGTTCACTTCGTTAGATCCAAGTAGTGTGGTATTGTAAAATTAAAATGGCGTCATTGTTGAAAAATCGAAAACTAGAAGGAAACACAAAAAGAAAATAGTCTGAAAGGGAGAGAGTGAGATTCATGAAGTTATACGAACCTAAGAAAGCATTATGAAATGTACGGATTAAGGAATATAAAATTAGGGTTGGTAGAAATGCGGAATTTTTTCTTTTTTATTCCTTTTTTTTATTTCAAGCTCATGTTTCAACATATCAGCAACCACTAGAATAACTTCCACAATCACTTCCGCCATCTTTACAGTAGTTTAGTTATTTGACATCCAAGTCATTTAACTGTGGCAGCCAACTTGATTCAAGTACACTTGTATAAGTCCACTTGGTCCAAGTTAGACTCCAAGCATTCTTGGATCGTGTCAAACCGCCTTTAAACAAAACTTACTGAGGATAGTCATATGGGATAATAAATCAGTAGACAACAGAGATCGAGGAGTGGAAAATATTGAAAAAAGAGCAGAACATTAACAAATGCATCTTAAAAGAGACGAAGAAGAAGGGAAAATGATGATGATGAAAGTTATATATTGATGAAGGTAATTTTTATGGGCAAATTGATAATTTATTATTGGAAGAAACATATTTCTAAAATCTCACTGCAATTGAGGTTATCAGTCAAGGATAAATAAAAAAAAGTAAAAATATTAAGTATTTAAATCTTTGAAAAGAAAATGTTTTATGCAGTATTTCTGCACTTTCTGTACAAGCACCTAGAAATAGGTATGGATTAAGAACTCTTAATATCAAAAAATAAAACTGTTAACAAAACAAAACAACAACAAAACAAAAAGTTAGGATATCGTGGTTCAAGGCTTCGTTGAAATGAAATATGGGAAAATTAATGGTATGTAGAATCCGAGTGTGCGAAAGATGAAAGAAATAAAAGATTTTATTATATTTTCAGTTAATAAAATTAAATCTTTGAAGTGAAGGGGATGTGGCTAACAAAAGCAAACATCAGGATTCGTAAGTCGACTGATAACCGAAATAAAAGCACATACACTATATAAAACGTATAAAATATATTAGATATCTTAATTTATGACCTGATATCTTGCTTAGGACGGCTTCATGTAGTGATTTTTTCACCAGAGATTCATTTGGTCTGCTCATCGTGTTAGAGATCTTCCTGTTGGTCTTCGAGCTTCTACATTTCCTTGTACTACCAATAGTTTCATGTTCCCTGCTCTTCTAGCTATGTGAGCGAAGTAATTTAGGTTTGCTCGGTTTACTTTTTTTTAATAACCCGTTTGTTATATTAAAGAATTATGAAGCTCCTAATTAAAGAATTGACCGGTTGGTCAATTCTTGTTGTATGATATATGGTTTTTATTATTCCGGTATTCTTTAGACCTTACCTATCATATGTTAAGCGTAGATATTGAAGCACGAGTATAACTCTGAGATAAGAGAATTAAATAGTGTGATAGAATCATAATTGCATCATTTCAAATATAGCATGCGGTCCATATGTATGGAATAAATTCATTTTTAGCATTATTAAGTACTATATGAAAAAAACCTAAAACAGGTCGATTTTTAATCTTAAATTGACAATTTACAGTATGAAAATATGATACCCCTCCAGCACCCCCTTTGAATTATAAGCACCCCCTCGAAAATTTTAAATAACAGGAGTCGTATGGCACCTTGTTATAAAGATATTTTAGTCCTTTATTCAGCAAGGTTTTTAAGTTTGGTGCAATCATAACTGAAAAAATTAATTTTTAAAGGTAAAAATTTTTTTAGGTAAAATTTTGATAATGTCTCTATCACAAAACTTTAGGTTGAATGAAGATAATAATGTCACATAATATTTTAAATGTATTTTTCAATGTACTTTACAATTAAATTAAATACTCAAAATGACCACTATTGACTTCTTGGCAATACCGGAGGCGATTTTGGAATTCTTGTAAAACATTTTGTACGACTCCGGGAGTTATTTTGTTAATATCTTCCGTTATCCTAACTTTTAAATTAGCTATACTGTTTGGTCTATAAAAATATACTTTAAATTTTAAATAATTCCATAAGAAATAATCGAGAGGAGTCAAATCGGGGAATCTAGTCGCCATTCGATCGTCCCACGTCTTCCAATCCACCTATTGGGAAAAACCTCGTTTAAATAATTTATAATTATAAGTGCAAAATGCGGTGGAGCTCCATCTTGTTGGTAGTAAATTGGTAGATCCATCTTATGTGGATGATTAACATTGGGAAAAAATCTTCGTAATGGAGGCACTAAAAAGTTAATAAAAAAATCTAGATAAACCTCACGCACTCAAAAAAATAACGACCAATAATTTTATTGTTAATGATACCAGCCCAATTGTTAATTTTTTTAGGATATTGCGTGTGAGTCTCACATACCCAGTGAGGATTTTCTCTGCTCCAATATCTACAGTTCTGTTTGTTAACCGTTCCTTTTTAATGGAACCTCGCTTCACCAGAAAAAACTATTTTGTTTATGAATTGCAAATCTGCGTTCATTCTGTCCATCATCATTTCATAGAATTCTTGCCTTCTATCAAGCAATATTCATTTAACTCCTGAACCAACTGAACTTTGTAAGGGTGGTATTTTTCTTTATGTAAAACTCTTAAAATAGATGATATACTTACGTCACTGACGGCGGTAACTTCTCAAATTTTCTTATGCGGATTTTCCTTAATCTCTAAAAGTATATCTAACTTTTTTCATCAATATTTTAATATTTCTACCTGGTTTTTCAATATTTTTTACATGTTCAGTATAACGAAACTTCTTTGCAATTGTGCTAACTGTAGACCGCGAATCTTGTTGACCAGGGTATTCATTATTAATATTTCACAAACCTCCTTTTAAGTTCTTGTTTTATTATTACAACCAATCATAATTAAAATGTCTATTCTTTTAGTCTCGGACAAATGAGCCATAATTAAATTTATTACGCGCACAAATATTATACTTACGTCTATAGTAACCTTAAAGTATCTTTTAATAGATAGGGCAATATTGTTGATATAAAAGTTGGGATAACAAAAAAAATTAACAAAATAACCTCCGAGATCTTACAAAATGTTGTATATAGCTGTTGTATATACAGATAGCCAAGCGGGCTGGGCGGCCGGTTCCTCACTAGCTTCACTGCTAGTGATTCAGAGGAAGTGAGTTCGATCCCCAGCTCGGTGTACAGAAAACAAAAACGCTAATTTGGAATGAGGAAGATAATAATCCCTACTGGAAGAATAAGAATTCCAAAATCGCCTCGATTATTGTCAAGAAGTGAATAATGGTGGTCAAGTTAAACACTTAATTTAACTGCAAAACTTTAATAATTTTCTCAGTTATGATTGCACAAATTTAAAAAACTTTATATTGCTGAATAAAGGACTAAAATACCTTTATAACAAGGTGTCACACGACCCCCTTTGCTATTTAAAATTTTCGAGGAGGTAAAGAGGGTGCTGGAGGGGGATATTATTTTCATACTGTAAATTGTCAATTTAAGAATAAAAATCGACCTGTTTCAGGTTTTTGTCACATAGTACATAATAACGCTAAAAATGAATTTATTCCATACATATGGACCACATGGTATATATATATATATATATATATATATATATATATATATATATATATATATATATATATATATATATATATATATATATATATATATATACTCATGGACAAAAATATCGAATATTTTTAAAATTTCTTTTGGTTTTTTCAAAATAAATTCTGGTCAATCAAGTCGTCTATTATGAAATAGTGTTTATTTTAACAATCTTTAATGATCAATATTGCTTAAACAAGTTTTTTTAACTAAAAGAAATGCGTGATCAGTAACGAGTATTCCCTCTCTGGCTCTTATTTCTGCTTGCATCCTTCTTAGCATGCTGGCAAAAAATTTTGGACATATTCTTGGGAAATTGCATTCCAATCATCCTGTGCAGCAAGCCGAAGTTGCTCTATCGTTTTTGGAACGGGATTTCTTTGCCGTATGCGGCGTTTAAGGTATTCCCACATGTGCTCTATGGGATTTAAATCCGAGCTAAATGATGGCCAATCCAATCTTCGAATTTGGACCTCATCAAGATGATTACTCACTAATCTTTTATATCCAATGTTATCAACATATATCAAAATTTGATCTCACAGGATGTTTTAAACGTAGGAGTCACCAGTCATCCGTTCAATCACTTTCACAAGTGCGGTGTGTACCTCAAAACAAATACCTTTCCAAAGAATTATGCCACCACCTCTAACACTAACGATCTGAGCAAGATTGCAGCTGACGGATAGCTCTCCAATTCTTCTGTAAACGTGGTTTTGACCATCTGGCTTCCATAATAAGACTCTGGTCTCATAAGTTAAATAAACATTTTTTGTAGTTGTCGATATTGCACTGAATATGCGTTTTTGCAATATCTAAACGACGTGTTTTATAATTTTGGAGAAGACGTGGAACTTTGGCGGGGTGTCTGGGCTTTAAGTTTTCTTCTTTTAATCTTCATCTAACAGTTTCTAAACTCACATTAACTTGTCTAACATTTATTAACTCATTTTTGAGGTGCATCGATGTCAATGAACGAGTTCGTATAGAATTAAGAACCAAAAAACGGTTATCAATTGCGGTTGTGCACCTTGAACGTCTTTAAACAGGCATTCGTACAAAATTTCCTGTTTCGCGATACCTTTTTAAAGTATTCGAAACTGTAGATTAACTTCTCCTGAGTCGTCGTGCGATATCTTTTTTTGCGTATTCTTCCTCGTACAAAATTACAATTTGTGCTACTTGGGCTTAGTCGCATTGGCGAATTGGTGGCATACTTGTTTTTAACTTAGTTAAATCGAAACAATATATAATTAAACTTAATAAATTAAACTGAAAATAACCGAATTAGTATGATTTTTTCTTTACGCGAAGGAGGTTATTTATGATAAAATGAACGAATGTCACTAAACGCTAAATAAAAGTCAAAATAAACGTATATGAGTATCATAAGTAATCTAATATCAACTATTGAAATAATAGTGTCTACAAAAAAATTGGAAAATTACAAAATATTCTATATTTTTGTCCATGGGTTATATATATATATATATATATATATATATATATATATATATATATATATATATATATATATATATATATATTAAATTATTTTATATTTTTATTTTTTAAATATTCTCTGTATATTTAAACAATTAATAAAGAAATTCCACGATACTTACCTGAACAATCTGCAAGAAAATAACTAAAATTCGTTTTTCTTTGTTTTAGTACGATTATTTCCAACGTTTGCACATAACTCTCTTCTCAAAGCCAAGGAAGAGCAAAAACTAAAACTGCTTCTCTTAATACTTATTGCTAATGTAATTACTAGTCAAACTGAAGCCGTTTCAGTGTAATAGGATTAGAGATAAAGTCGGTCCTAATATAAAGTTGCCACTTATACGTTTACTTTTTTATATACGCTGGTATTCACTGTTGGTGTGATGAGGGCATGCACTAGGAATTTTACGGGTATCCTTTTGAAGGAGAATGATAACAAGTCATTTCAGAGGCGTGTCGGTTTTTAATCTAACTACATATATGAAGGTAAAAGAAAATAACAAGAAAATTATCATCATAATGCAATATGCATTTGGCCTAGTTAGATCATAGTAATTAGCAGGGGTGTAAAGCTAGTTTGCGTCCGTAGTAGAATACTACACGTGCACCCTGGATAATGCTAAATGAACTAGCGCCATAGGCAGCCAGACAATCTATTATTTCTAGATCTCCTGACAAGAAAATATCACAAATATAAGGTATGCCTCCAATCAACAATTTAAATGGACCTTCTCAGGACCAAGCGACAAAAGGACTCGGACCAAGCATCCGAATCTGCCATTTAAATATAGAAGGTATTACTAGAAGTAGTTGTGAGTACCTTCAAAAGGTAGTCTTTGAAAATAATATTGACGTGGTCGCAATTCAGGAAACCCATGTAGAAAATGAAGAACAAATTCTCGCTAGAGGAAGAATTCATGGCTATGATTTATTGGTGCAACTTACCATCCAGCTTATGTAGTGGCAACCTATGTTCGAAACAAAATAGAAAATGCATACATACGTTCTACATCAGACATAAATAACATTCATACGGTTACTATACAAATTGGCGAAATTACTGTCAGCAATATTTATAAACCCCCGGCAGTCCTGTGGCCTTCGCATGTTATTCACGCCCACCCACATCCCTCAGTTTATGTGGGAGACTTCAACAGTCATCATGAACTCTGGAAGTATAGGCACTGTAGCGTTTACGCTACTGACTAGTCCAATTTAAACCCCTCAAGAAATTTTTATTACCCGCCTACGATCGATTTTGAATCGACATTTTCCCCCACACGCGCTGTTATCGTTTTGAAAATGAACCTTCTCATAGCTCGAGTAATGAAACTATCGGAGATGAGGATCCTTACACTAGTGAAGAGGAAGAACAAGAAGATAGTTCAGATTACCGCAAAGGAGGTTACCATCCTGTCAGAATTGGCGACCTCTTTCTTTCCAGGTATCATGTAACTAGAAAATTAGGTTGGGGTCATTTCTCGACTGTGTGGTTGTGTTGGGATCTTGAGGAGAAGAGATTTGTTGCCCTAAAGATTGTCAAGTCAGCAGATCACTTCACAGAAACTGCTCTTGATGAAATAAAAATTTTGAAATCAGTTAGAGAATCTGATCCAACAGATCCAAAACGTAATAAAACTGTTCAACTTTTAAATGATTTTAAGATCAGTGGAATCAATGGGGTACATGTTTGTATGGTCTTTGAAGTGCTAGGTCATCATCTATTAAAATTAATTATAAAATCCAATTATAGAGGAATTCCATTAGCAAATGTGCGCACTATAATGAAACAAGTTTTAGAATTATGCCGATTTTCTCCACCATGTCCGTTCATATCGTTTTTACCTTTCTTTTTGGCAGGCTTGTGTCTTTTCTTTTTAGCTTGAATAGCTAAGACACGTCGATTTACGTCCAATTTAGCGCTCATCTGTATACCTTTTTATAACAATCGCCACTAAAATTACTTAAAAACGTTATTAAGGCGTCAAATGTCCTTCATTTTATTAAAAACACTTTTGTTTGATTATGGCCGCCTCACCACTATTCCCTAGTACGAAAAGACAAACAACACTTTTCAATGTAGCGTTTACGCTACTGACTAGTCCAATTTAAACCCCTCAAGAAATTTTTATTACCCGCCTACGATCGATTTTGAATCGACATTTTCCCCCACACGCGCTGTTATCGTTTTGAAAAGTTGGTAAGTCGAGGAATAAGTATGCCCGATCTCACATACCCCACCAAAGGATTGGAGTAACTTTCAGGAATGTTCCTACCCTGTTACTCAAAGGAAAATGTTCGGATAATAAATTATATATGAATAATATAATATATATATAAAAATGAAATGAATATCGTATGTATATATGTACAAAAAAATGATAAATCAGTTCCTTTACACGGACGTGTAAGGCAGGTTTTAGACCGCCCAACCAAAACCTAGTTGGTAGCGAGAATATGAACATATATGATCGATAGGGTCCATTAGTTATTGGACCCTATCGATCATATATGTTCATATTCTCGCTACCAACTAGGTTTTGGTTGGGCGGTCTAAAACCTGCCTTACACGTCCGTGTAAAGGAACTGATTTATCATTTTTTTGTACATATATACATACGATATTCATTTCATTTTTATATATATATTATATTATTCATATATAATTTATTATCCGAACATTTTCCTTTGAGTAACAGGGTAGGAACATTCCTGAAAGTTACTCCAATCCTTTGGTGGGGTATGTGAGATCGGGCATACTTATTCCTCGACTTACCAACTTTTCAAAACGATAACAGCGCGTGTGGGGGAAAATGTCGATTCAAAATCGATCGTAGGCGGGTAATAAAAATTTCTTGAGGGGTTTAAATTGGACTAGTCAGTAGCGTAAACGCTACAGCACAATGATCAAAACGGCTAGGCTCTAATAAACTGGAGCGAAGAGGTTGACACTCGTTTAGTCTTTGATGGTAAAGATCGGGGAACTTTTTGATCTGCAGCCTGGAGGCGAGAATACAACTCAGACCTATGTTTTGTTTCCACAAATGAAAACAATCAACCACTGGCAGCTTCACGTACAGTATTGTCAGATTTTCCACATAGCCAACATAGACCAGTTGTAATAGAAATTGGCATCAAAATACCAATAATATCATATTTTCCCCGACCTTGGTGGAACTTTCAAAAAGCAGACTGTGCGACTTTTACTGAAAGATTGGACAAATGTCTGGGATAAATCCCCCATTCATTAAAAAAAGGCCTCCATTATAGCCAGATTAAAACAAGAAAAGGCAAATAATCAGCCTCGAAAATACCGTCCGATTGCTTTGCTGAGCTGTGTTTATAAACTGTTGGAACGCTTAATCTACAACAGAATTAGTAGAAACGTATTTGAATTGATACCTATTAAGCAAGCCGGATTCAGACCTAACCGCAGCTGCACATATCAGATCCTATCCTTAACAACACATATTGATGCTGGTTTTTAAAGAAAACAAAAACATCCGTTGCTTTCATTGACCTATCAGCTGCATACGATACTGTCTGGAGACAAGGACTAATCTGCAAACTAATCCGTGCCGTCCCGTGTCAAAAGGTATATAAACTCATTGATAACATGCTCACCGACAGACCTTTTCAAGTCACAGTGGACAATTCTAAAAGTTTCCAAATGAAGCTCAGCAATGGACTGCCACAGGGATCTGTTTTGGCACCCTTACTGTTCAATTTATATATCGCGGATCTACCTAGGACAACTTCGCAGAAAATTGGCTACGCTGACGATTGGTCCATTGCAACAAGACATAATAACATGGATATCACAGAAACAATATTAGCGGATGACCTTGCCATTATGGGAGAATACTTTCGCAAATGGAGGCTACGGACTAATACAACGAAAACCAAAGTGTGCTGTTTCCATCTGAATAATGCCCAAGCCAACAAAAAACTCCCCGTCCACTTCGAAAACAGACTGCTCACTCATAACTCAACACCAAAATATCTTGGAGTGACTCTGGACAGAACATTGAGATTTAAAGAATATCTTCAAAGAACGACAGCAAAGCTGAAAACGAGAAATAATATAGTCCAAAAGCTATGTGGCACTACATGGGGGTCCTCAGCCTCCGTACTCAGATCATCCGCTCTCGGACTTGTATACTCGGTGGCTGAATATACTTCCCCGGTATGGCTCAATAGCAAACACACACAGATTACTTACACACAATTAAACCAGACAATGCGAATGATCTCAGGTACAATTAGACCCACACCGAACTATTGGCTTCCCATTCTGAGTCACATTCCACCGCCGAAACTGCGAAGAAGTCATTCTCTTCTCAGAGAATATCGAAAAATATTGAGGCTAAACATCAACTACCCATTCACCAAGATAAGCTTGATATCGAAATAGACAGACTGCGCTCCATATATCCTCCATTGCTAAGAGCCAACTCCTTACATCAGGAACATTTCAACCTGACCAAAGCTTGGAGAACACAATGGGAGAGCGACTCACCACAGGAAGCACATCAAATGGCCTGTATCGATTAGAAACCACCAGCCTTTAAACTGACCCGCAATACATGGACAACGCTAAACAGAATAAGAACAAGCAGCAGTAGATGTGCTGACAGCTTATATAGATGGGGAAAAGCCCTTACTCCTGAGTGTGACTGTGGTAGGTAACGACAGACCGTCCGTCACATTGTTGAAGAATGTCCCCTATACATGACAGTGCTAATGCTATATTGTAGCAATTTAAATTTACCTAGAAATAAACAAAAAAAAAATACTTACAGAGATTTCCTGGTCAACAAATACAAGAAGATTTTTAAACTATTTAAAATGAACGCCGTTTAAAAAGACCCTTTGCAGGTTAGAAAGACAGGCTTTTTTCTTTGGAATTGCATATAAATCAAACACACTGTCCCACACAAACTTTAAATTATCTGGTTTGACCCATGGAGACACAAAATGTACAAATATTGGGGACCCCAAACGTCAAATTGGGTTCAGGTTATCCTTATGATTACAAAATTTCTTCACAACTAGGCTGCTTAATTTTCACTTAAAACCATGTGGACCTCTTAAAACCTTAGAATTGCTGTTTTTTAAATCCCTTCGGAATACAGCAACAGGCCGGTGATTATTTCACTTTACAAAGACTGCCAAATAGCATTTTGACATTAATTCTACCTCATTCGAACATCGAATTAAACTAAAATTTTGCCGA